TATTCAACCTCTTACAAAAAGCTACGTGCTAAATGTTGGACATTTTTTTGATTTGCAATAATGGAAGAAAAAACATTTTTTCAATGAGATATAAAAACGTTTGTCTCCTTCGTTAATTATAAATATTGTGACTTACCGTAGGCATCAATTTTTCGGCTGTTCACTCGGCTTAAGAATGATAATACCAGCAGTAGTAAAACAGAATAAAACATGTTTCGTCGGTATGTCAGCATTTATCAGAAATGGTTAAATTAAATAATTGACGCAAGTTTCTGCATAGCATGCGAGGCTTTATACATATCATCTCCATACACAGTTTAAGTATACCCTTTACGTCAACAACGTTTTCTTATTTTCTGTCATCGAAAACAAAATATGTCAAAACGCAAATTATATGAAACGGACTAATTAGTATAGACTTCCCAATGGACATACCATGGTTACACTGTTATTGAGAATTCCATAATATTTTTCCTGTTGACTGGGTGTGGGTGTGAAGTGTTGGTTTGGAAGGAAGAAGAACATCACGGGCGCACCCACACCGCCACCTCTATCGCCTAGGGGAATTCGAAAAATTGTTTTTCAAAATTTATTTATTTAAAGTTATTATAAATAGCAAGACAGTTGTGCTGATTACAAATATCCTCATCGCGATTCTCCAGAATTTACACTGGCTTGAATTTCGAGTTTAACATATACTCTGATTTTAGGGTCCAAATCTGGCTTTTGACTATCCTATATCGCATGATTTGACCTGTAAAATGTCTGAAACAGTTTCTAGGATGTGTTATTTTTTCAGCTGTATTCGAATCTGAATGAATAAAAACGAATTAGAAACAATTAGCCCTTCGAAACTGCGAAACATGTGCAGAATCAGGCTATGACAAACGGAATGGACCCTATTAAAGTGCTCTTCTTTAGGGGGAAACATCGTACTTTGAGGTACTTCTGAGTACTTCGGGATATTTTGATGTACTTTTGTACTTTGAGGAGTCAAAGTACGATGTTTCCACCTTGTTTATAACACAGAAAAGAACATTATGGAACTTGAAATTGCCAAACAAGCATAGTTTGATGATATTCGCCAATTTTGACGACACGAGGAAAATATGAACAGTCCCAATATATTTCCAATAACTCCTAGAATTACTGAGACACAACACAAAGTGTCAACAAGTTGAACTTGAAACGTCGAACTATCGATTTCACAATAAATCAGAGAATTTGTTTTATTATGCGCCATCATACGTTAGTTCATCTAGAAATACACAGAGAAAAAATGAATATTATTTACTAAAATAGCATTCTACGTGAATTTCTAGAAGAAAACAAAGTATATCTCAATACTTCATTCTGTCATCAAATGTCGACATCGTTCTTTGCATATGATGTAGTTTTATCGTTAGATTCGTTTGGGAGTCTCTAGAAAAAATATGTTAAGACAAAACAATCGAAAAATTATTTGACACAGACTAAGGACAAAAGATTTAAGATTTTTCCAAAAATAATATCCAATATGCTCTCGTAACGACACGACTTGATTTACTCAAGATAAAAAGCGATGCATACGGAGACAAATCTGACAAAAGAAATAATTAATGCAAACAGCGCTTACTTTAAAAATGGATGGATTATATAGTACTTTCAATACTGCCTATGAATCAATAAACAGCGAAAGCGTTAAAGACATCTTACGATTTTGTTGCGACAATAGAAAAATGTTTCTTCATTTAGCAATCAAAATAAAATTCCTCCGCATAGTAATTTGTCTAAATCTATAGTATACCGGTGGGCATTATGTGTTACTAAAGCTCGAGTAATTTCTGCAGCCAATAATTCTGCTTGCATAAAATATCTTATTGCACTCAATCCTAAGTCATAGTCCACAAACATTATCACCTATTTCACACGTCAACCACTCATGAATTGTTACCCTCAACTTACATACATGCAGATTTTTCTTCAACAATTCTTATAGCAGCTAGTATAATATAGTCTAACGCTTTGTAAAATACGATCTGAAACGAGTGTTGAAGTATATAGGATGGAAATTTGGACCCCCCCCAGACCGAGACAGAGAAATTAATTAATTTCTCTATAATGGTCTGAGATGGTCTCTAGAGACTCCATACATGATAATACAGACTGTAACAAAGAAGCTCTACAGACCATCACAGACCGTGGTAGACGGATTCCAGAAAAGGAGCTTCATCGTGTTTCACATTTTAATCCCACAGGGATTGCGGCAACAGCGTTTTTACTCTATATTAGCTCAATCTAATATTTTTACGATATTGACCGACTATCTGTTTTATTATACAAATATAATTTTCATCGGAGAAAATTTTCGTTTTTCAACGAATTTCTTACGGCAAAATAATGAACTTTCTATTTATATAAAAAAATTGATTAACTGTAAACTAATCCAAAATAATCGCTTAGATTGTATTGTTGCTTTTCAAATGACACATTTTTTTTCCTTCTAGAATGAAGTTTTTATGTCCCTTTTACAAGTCAATACAAAGGTCATTGTTCTAGCTGGATCTTCGTAGGAAAAAAATAACTCACTATTTTCATAGGCTATTCCGTTTGCTTGAGATAATGATAATTAATTTTTATAAATATCTTGTATACATCTTCAGTAACAAATATGGGTATGGCAAATCAATTTATTTGTGAAGTTGAATCGTTTTTGTGGAACTGCCATGATATTTTCGAAGAAAATGGTGTGTAGTTTTTAATGCGACGTCTTTTTAATTCTCGCCAACCTTCTCTGTTAGAGGTATTAATGAGTTTCTCGTTCTGTTAATTAAGAACTACACCAGTTAACTTGCTGCTTCATTCTTATTTTCATCGCATATTATACGAAAAAAAGGAATATTTGTTCATGGCAGACACTGGCAAATAAGTCACTGCCCTGCCACATGAATGGGTAATAGATGCTGCCCTCAATATAGGGCTAAAAAAAACAGGTAACTGTTTACAAAAGATCTTTCAATTTCACTATTTTGAATCTGCTTAGTTATTCTAAAAAATATATGTGAGTTCTACACTTTAGTCCTGAAGGGAATGCACTAAAAAGCTGTTCAGTAGTACATTTTTGCTCTCGTTGGAAATAGCATAAAAGTATCATTTTCTCATACATAAAAGACAACTTGACTCACCTATCTCTGTTGGGTAGATGTACCTATGACATATGAATATGCATATGCTCTTATTTATTATGTTTTTTCTTTCTTTTACGAGTCGCGATCTTCAAAGTTTTGGAAAGAAAACATGTCGTTCGAAAATTAGACACAATCTAACATTTTTATTTTTTCTTCGATTAAAAGTAGTCATTAGTTTAATTAATTAATAGCTGAATAGTTACACTCTTATCATCAAGACTTGTCAATGAGTTAAATATAAACGTACTTCGCTTTAATCCTCAAAAGAATAAGACACACCATAATCAGTCTAGTTTTGTTTTTACATTATCGTACATTAAATCAGTGAACAAACTGTAGAGAAAATTTAAAAAATCTACGAACGTTGATCTTCCATCGAGCATCATTTGCAGTTATCGTTAAGACATTAGACACTGATAAAGTTGGTAAAAGTTTTTGTTGTCAAAGTTCGTAATGCATGTGATTATATTTGATATTTCATTTGTTTTAAAAGCAATATGCTTCAATTGATTTTAACAATTACCCGATGAACAAACATGTAGATCACTTTGATATAAATTTCTTATCTAAAATAATTCGAAGAAAACTTCCGTTGAATTCAATTGCAAGCAAATGATGATCGTCATTCATTATTGAATATTTTTTTCTTTTCAATCTAAATTGATTATTATTTTTACAGTAAAATCTCCCTTAGTGGACACTCTCTTAAGTGGACACCTCGCATAGTGGACACTTTCTTTTCAGTCCCTTTCATGTCAAATACCTCTCTATAGTGGACATTGATTTGAATTAATAAAACATTCTTTGATGAATACGATTAAACACATACTATATCATTGGTATTCTTTGACGACACATAAAAGACAGAAAAATGAATCACCCGTCTTGTTGAATCGATGAAAAGTAAAAAGAAAACAATAGTGACATTGCTTAATTTGTCTCGCTTGTTCTATTTGTCTTATTTCTGACTGTCGAGAAAGAAAAAGGAGCATAATGTCTCACCGAAAAGCATTAACTTTGGAAGAAAAAATTGCTTTAATCAAGGATAATCAAAATGCTCATGGTTTATCAGTTTGCGAACTGACTGATAATTATAAAATATCAAAAAGTAGTGCTGCCAATATTCGTCGTCGAAGTGAAGAACTTTTAGCTGATTATTCTTCGAATTGTAATAAAGGTATTAAACGCAAATTCAAGGACGAAAATAGACAAAAAAATCGATGAACTTGTCTTCGAATGGTTCACTCAACAACGTGCTAAACAAATTCCTATTTCTGGCCCCATTTTACAAGAAAAAGCAAGGCAAGTTGCTGAACAATTAGGTTATACGTCAGAAACATTTAAAGCATCAAACGGTTGGCTTGAAAAGTTCCGCAATCGTCACGCTATTTCATTTCGAACAATTAATGGTGAAAGTGCTTCAGTGGATAATTCCACAGTCGAGGAATGGGCTCAGCGACTTTCAACAATACTTGATGGATTTGATGAAAACGATGTTTTCAATGCAGATGAAACGGGTTTATTTTATCGTGCAACACCTGATCGCTCATTGGTCTTATCCAAGGAAGAATGTAAAGGTGGAAAAAAGAGCAAAGAAAGACTCACAGTTTTACTGTGTTCGAATTTGGCTGGGTCGGAAAAATTAAAACCAGTGGTAATCGGTAAGAGTATATTCATTAATTAATCAATAATTCATATAGTTTTTATTTTATTTTAGGCAAAAGTCAACGTCCTCGTTGCTTCAAAAAAATTACTACGTCGAAACTACCTGTCACCTGGCTGTCAAATCGAACTGCTTGGATGACCTGTAACTTATTTACTGACTGGCTCATCACCATTAACAATCAAATGAAAAAAAAGAATCGAAAAATTCTTCTTTTCATCGACAATGCTCCATGTCACGTAATTAATCATGATTTATCAAATATCAAAATTGTCTTCTTTCCTCCAAGTACCACGTCCAAGTGCCAACCACTTGATCAAGGTGTTATTCATTCGTTTAAATGTTATTATAGACAAAAATTAGTTAAACATATAATTGCTCAATGTACTCTAGCTCAAACTGCTGATCAGATATCAATTACTGTCTTAGATGCAATTAAATGGATTGATTTATCATGGAAAAGTGTTACGGAAAATACAATTAAAAATTGTTTTCGTGCTGCTGGTTTTATTCGTTCTTCTTCTACGCCTTCATCGTCTATGACGAATATGGATATTATTGTTGAAATTAATATAGAATCAAACAATTCTGATAATCCTTTATAACAACTTCATTCGTTATTAGTTCATCTTCGTATTGGTGGTTCACAGTTAACAGCTGCCTAGTTTGTAGGCATTGATTCCTGTATTCCAACATTTAACGAATGGAACGATTCTGAACATCTTAAAACTTATATCCAAGTTACTCAAGATGATAACGAAGAAGAAGAAGAAGAAGCTCTATTAGAACAACCTCCAAATTTATCTGAGGCACTCGAAATGATGAGAAAACTTTATCTTTTTGCTTCTATCGAACAACCCCAGTTTCACAATTTTATATCTGATCTAGAATCGCAATTAATTGATATCTATCTTGATTCAAAAGCGGTTAAACAAAGTTCTATTACAGACTATTTTTCTCATTGCTGATTTTTCTATTTTTGTTGTTTGTTGTTTGTGAAAATAAATTAATGAACGAAAGATCGATAAGTGTAGTAAATTTGATTATCTTACTCATAGTACTGTGCTCATTCAAAAGCCCGTGTTCCATCGAAATATTAAAAAAGGAGACTTACCCTCTCTAAAGTGGACACCTCTGTATAGTGGACACTTTTGGAAAGTCCGAAAGGTGTCCACTATGTGGAGGTTTCACTGTAAATTAATTTCATTCTGTTTCTAAAACTCTAGAGGTTGTTATAATGATATCAAATTACAATGCAATTATAACTTATTTTCATTTCTGTTTTACATAAATTAAAAACAAAATAACTTATAACTTCTTTTCATTTAGATTGTTCACAAAAACTATTCGACGAAATTAAAAATTAAAAACTAAAATAAATATGAGGTGAGACGAGATGAGAATGAGCGATTGAGTTGAGTCGAAAAAATGATTATTATTCCGGACGAAATATTAAAAGTTAAAATTTATTTTTAACGCAAAGAAAAGAAGAGCCACTCATTGTTACTGGAAACGGCGAAATAGTGTAGAACTAGGAAGGCCTTTTCATGTACACGAGGTCACTGTCGTCGTATTTGTGCGTCATACCCTGTGTACATTCCCCTACCAGTCTGGCGTGGTCCACTCTATGTGTACTCGTTTCATGACCATGGGAACTCTTTCTGGTTGCGCGCGCGACTAGTGAATATTAGTTAATAATCATTCAAACTATTTGATTAAGCGGACATACTAGAGAAAACAAACATTTACAACTTCTTTTTCACTGCTGCTATACTATTCATTACGTTCTTAATGCTAGGATGTGTTGAAGAAAGTGACTTTTGTTTAATACTAAGTGCCTTTTCTAGATAGGAAAGTGCTTTCGAGCATTCACCCATGTTGTAATACACTAGACAAATGTTGTTGTAGGAAGTAGCCAAAGAGGGATGATTCGCAGGTAGAGATTATTCTTCTATTTTGAGTGATTTTTCGTAAAACTCAAGTGCTTTCGAGTATTCACCCATGTTGTCATACACTGCACCGATGTTGTTGTAGGAAGTAACTAAATTGGGATGATTCGAGTGCTTTCGAGTATTCACCCATGTTGTCATACACTGCACCGATGTTGTTGTAGTCAGACGCTATGCGAGGATGATTAGCAGGAAGTGATTGTTGATTGATTTTATTTGCTCTTTCGTAATATTTAAGTGCTTCCGAATATTCACCCATGTTTTTAAACATACTACCGATGTTGTTGTAGGATTGAGCGAAATCTGGATGATTCGAAGGCAGAGATATTTCTCTGATTTTGAGTGATTTTTCGTAAAATTCGAGTGCTTTCGAGTATTTACCCATGTTTTTGTACACTCCACCGATGTTGTTGTAAGAACTAGCCAAATCGGGATGATTCGAGGGCAGAGATATTTCCCAAATTTTATTTGATTTTTCGTAAAATTCGAGTGCTTTCGAGTATTCACCCATGTTGTCATACGTTGCACCGATGTTGTTGTAGGAAATAGCCAAATCGGGATGATTCGAAGGCAGAGATATTTCCCAAATTTTATTTGATTTTTTGAAATACTCAAGTGCTTTCGAGTATTCACCCATGTTGTCATACACTGCACCGATGTTGTTGTAGGAAGTAGCCAAATCGGGATGATTCGCAGGCAGAGATTTTTCGAAGATTTTAATTGATTTTTTGAAATAATCAAGTGCTTTCGAGTATTCCCCCATGTTCTTATATACTCTACCGATGCTGTTGTAGGNATATTCAAGTGCTTTCGAGTATTCACCCATTTTTTTATATACTCTACCGATGCTGTTGTATGAAGTAGCCAAATCGGGATGATTCGCATGCATAGATATTTCCAAGATTTTATTTGATTTTTCGTAAAATTCAAGTGCTTTCGAGTATTCACCCATATTCTTATATACTCTACCGAAGCTGTTGTATGAAGCAGCCAAATCGGGATGATTCGCAGGCAAAGATATTTCCAAGATTTTATTTGATTTTTCGTAAAATTCAAGTGCTTTCGAGTATTCACTCATAATGCTATACAGTAGACCGATGTCGTTGTAGGAAGTAGCCAAAGCGGGATCAGTGGGAGACAGGGATTTTTCTTGTATTTTAATTGTTTTTTTGAAATACTCAAGTGCTTTCGAATATTCGCCCATGTTTTTATACACACTACCGATGTTACGATAAGTAGAAGCCACCGATGTATCATCTTCTGGAAGAAGTTTCCCATCGATTTCGAGTGATTTTTTGTTGAATTTAGCTGCTTCTGGGTATTTCCCTTGCTGGTCTTTCAATATTCCAAGCATGTAATAGATATTTGCTCTATCGCTATCAGTAGAGGCATTCTTGAGTAATTCATTGTAGAGTTCTTCAGCTTGATCGAAATGACCCACTTTGAGCATCAATTTACCCATTCGATCCCATCCTTCACCGTTGATCTCCTGTTTGATGCGACTGGTAAGAGTAGAAAGTTGTGGATCATTATCATCAGTAATAGCCAAGTGTACTTCCCAAAGACGACTATTCTCAGCCATCTGTTTAATTTCAACGACGCGAAAAACAGTGTGCATTGTAAAGAGCATTTCTTGTTCTGATGAAATAGCACTCTGTTCAGCAATCATAGCAAATGGAGTAGTCGAAGTTGATATTCTACTTGGATCAATAGCCATAATAAAAATAACACTAAGATTTTCTGTACTGTCGTGTGGTGAATCATTAACGAAGTTCATCGCCACTTCTTTTTCTTTACTAGTTGATAAGAAGTTGTTGAACGATACTAGACCACCTTTTGAATTACAGAGATTCTGAAAATCCTGTTGACTGAGTTCCTGGCCACGATAAACGGTAAACGCTTGTTGGAAATTTGACGACTGTTCTTGGTGCAATTGCTCCAGTTGAATATGTAAACGTCGAATAAAAAATCCTAACTTTATCATCGTTTCCATATCGAGCAATCGCAAGGCACGATTGAGCATACTATGGAGAAACATTGATTTCGAATACCACCAAATAGGTGATTTCTCGTGGTATTTACTCTGTAATAAGTTAATCTGTTTTTCAGGAATATTTTGTTGCCGGCAAAAGTTCACTAAAGTATTCATAGATTTGTTGTCATCATGATCGATTTCTAATATGATATCCTTGAAAATCACCGAGTACATGTAAGATGGCGGTAATTGATCAAGATTTTGTTCTGTGGATGCTGCTTCTGATATTTGTCGCTTTGATATGAAGCTCATCGGTATTGCGTCATGGTCACATGATTGTGTTACCTTTATTAATTGCGTGCATATCGACTGTATTTGATGATATTTGTAAAGGAAATCTACATGTTCTTTCGTAGACGTCATCACTGTATTTGATTTCCAAATCAAATTTATTATCAATCTCATTCCATCGCAAAACTTGCAAGTGTCCACATATTTTCTTAATGATAAAACACTTATCGATTGGAAAACTTAAGCCATTCTGCTGATTGATAATATTGGTATCAGTGTCATATTTCAAGTATTCTTAGCAAATGTACATAATTAGTTTCTTGTGGGATCTTACTGGTAACTAAGAAAATAAGCGATATCCTATCTTATAATGAAGACATCATCTTCATTATTTTGCCATATTTTCTCTTCCTTTCGACGAGTGACATTGCTGCTATAGTATGCGTATAGCAAAGAGCAAAGAGAAAAGAGAAGAATCCTGAATCCGTAATTCTGAAATTTTCAATGTTTCTATGAATCTCAGAAATTCTCTTGAGCTCAGCAAGAATCTCAGCAAACTTTGTTGGGTCTTTCGAACGATTTGTTTAAAAACATATACATTCATTGATAGCTGATTAGTATGGATTTGTGAATTTCAAAATTCTACCTATTGCCCTACAAGCCTTGTCACTTTGTTGAGCTATTCTTAGTTCTACTAAAGAATCTAAACAATTAATTCTTTAATTCATAGCTGCTGTGATATCTATTTGCATAAGTATTGGGTAGCATTATTTATTTCTACTTTCTAATATCTATTCGATAAATCAAAATTAAAGATTTAGGAATATTTTATGCCAAACTTATTTCACTGTGAGCAAGCTTTCGACGAAAGATGAAATCTGCATTTTACATAATTTATCGTGAGGCTTTTATTTCTGATTTTGATCAAAAATATGAATCTAAACAAATGAGTGTTTTATATACTAAGATTTAGATCGAGGATGTTTATACAAAAACAGCTGATGCCTTTATCTTTTGAAATAATACTACAAATAATCAGAATCCATTGTACTCCGAACACCACAGTATTCCAAAAAATAATATTTTCGAATTGATCTGTCTCATATATGAAAAACTCTGATATTATTTATGCATTATCGTTTCGAACTTATTAGCTTTTAGTACATGTATCATCACTTAAGAAGATTTTAAACAGCTTCTTGATTTCCCAAAATTGAATTTTAGACATTCAATTGAGATATGAGAAAATTTCTATTATACGTAAATGCGAATGTCCTTGACGAATGGCATCGTGAGTCGTAAATACCTCTTACTTTCGAACATTCATTCTCCCATACTTTGTGTTCATCTTTATTTGAGCATAAAACGAAAATCTTATCAAGTTGAGTAATATCGTGTATAAGCGGTACTGTCATTTGGCCAAGTGACGCAGAGGTAATTAAATAAATTTTCTGATCATCTACACTTGTTAGGTAGTCAACGCATTGGTCGGCGTCAGTAAATGGTTCTACTGTCACAGCAATGTTTCGAAGCTTTGCCAGTGACTTTTCAAAATCTTCCTTTCTTTCGTCAATATTAGCATCAAGCCATACTAAAAGGAAATTTTGCACGATTCTTCTTGGTCGTGCTCGAAAGTCTTCTGAGGAAGTTTCAACAGTGGCGCTAGTAATGGCTTGTTTTGACACTGTTGAAAATGCAGGTTCACTGTATTCGGCACAAGTTGCGCTGCTAGCTCTGGATGATTTGCTTTTATCCATCTTGTATGTATTTGAGAACCTTTTGCTAATGTAAGAAAGAATGAATTAATGCAATGAATAACTAAGAAGTATTCTTTTATACGACTAAGCTATCACCAATGCAGCACTTGCAGATTTGCTTACCCAGCAGAATTCAGAAATCTGTGATTTTTTGAAAAATTAAATACTCATAGAATAGAATTGTTATGAGTTTCCTAAGATCTGAATGTGCTTGTTTGATATTCTGCAGGCCTTAATCGCACTCAATTGATAATGACTTCAGAGAAAGACTCACTTTCTAGTTGATAGCCCAATAAAATTATCTACTACCTACTTAGAACTAGTTTTTCTAGCACTAATACCTTACTGATAATACTAGCTGAAGACTAAATATGTTTAGAAGAAAGTTCAACGGCTTAATATGTTTATGAACGCTTAATCCTTTATTGAAAACCAATATTTTCAGGTCAAAAATCGTTCACTATGATTTTTCTATATGGTCTATAAACAATTTAAGTTGAACAGCACGGCATTTAGCATTTTTACATTGAATATTTCTTAAATTTCGCTGTCTTCAACTTGATTAGTCTAAGAATGTTGAAAATAAAATATACTTACGTAGTAAATTGTATTAGGTAGTACAGTCGATTTCTATTGTATTTGCAATGGCTTGCACACCGGATTTATCGTTGACGAAATTGCTTGTCTTTTTTACCACTTAGTTTTGTTTACTTCAATCAATGAATTATATCATTTTCAAGAAGTAAGCAGTATTTTTGCATATATGCGCTCGTCGCCGTGTGATTTTTTCTCTTCCAGCCCTCTTTCTATTGTTTTCTCTTACTTTCAATCTGAAATTGTTATGATCAAAATAAAAATACAGGTTGACGTATGAGTAAACAAACGAATCGCCTTTGCATCTCGAAGTTTCGTTTTTTGACGAGTAAAAGAAACCGTGATTGTTTGGTTTCATACGTATATGAGAAATGCTTGCGGTGTAAACTTTTATATCTGGCTTTCCCAACAAGGACTCTTTCAATAGACAAGACAAATGTTCATGAATTATATGTTGAATAAGACGAGGTCGGATATGTCGGGTGCGCGAGTCTATTAAAATTATCATTTCATTTGAAAATACGAAGCAGATTTATGCATATAGTTCATATTCATATATTAGTATGAATATAAATTTATATTATTCGTTAATAAGAGTTTGAGAAATTATTCATTCGAAAAAATGAAGTTTTGTCAAACTATGAAAACAACGGATTCTAGACTGTCGATTTAAGATACAATATTAAATACGAGAACTGATATTTTCATCATGGTTTTATGTATTTATTGTGTAGTTGTGAATAGACTGCATTGAAAAATTGCACAGTTCTTCATTTCATTTTCAGACAAGTTAACTATCTTGAAAGAATTATTTCTTAACGACCTGCTGGTTTTATTGTGTATTAAAATCTGATTTATGTTGACAATTGTTGGATTAATACTGAAATACACGTTTCTGATAAAAAAAAGCATTAAAATGTAAAATTCGAATGTCAAACGTACGATGAACTAAATAAGATCATTCTTATGTGACCATCACAGAAAAACATTTATTTCACTCAGAAATAGTGATGGGAAAATATTTTCAAGTGAAGAATAAATACAAAGTGCTGTGTCTTATTTGTTTCTAATTATTTCGTTGACCATCTATATAAATTATACACTAAAGAAAATAATAAATGATGAGATTTAATTAAACAAAACCTTGTATTTAACTTAATAATCAATTTGCTGCTAAATTTCTACAGAACTAAAAAAATACAATTCATAACAGAATTTCTTTACTAACAAATAAGAAACTTCGTTTTCAATGAATGACTTCAATCTTTTTTTTAACTTTTTAAAATTTATATGTTATTGTATCTTTTTGTGTAAAATTTCTTCATTTATATCACTTCTCGAATGTCAAATACACGCAAATTCGGCCTATGATATGAGATTAATTGTTCCCATTTTCGACTAACTTTCTATGCACCATCAGTATTAAGTTTCATCGACGTATATAAAACTTGAATTTTAGAAAATAGATCCTTGACAATTTCTTCAAATCGATGAAAACTTATTCTATTCAGATTGAGAGAAACATGTGTTAAATGATTTAAGGTAGGTGGACTTGTCTTTGCCCGTGGTTTCCAAGGTATTAATTGTTGATTTGGCTCAAATCAAAGTAATTTTGGACGATCAGATATTCAATTGAGTTATACTCATCGGTGGTAGTTGATGGCATTAAAACATCATAGTCACAGTATCCTCGCAAGGACAACCTGCAGTATTTCAATGCCGGTCAACGAAATATTTGGCGATAGAGAAGATTTTTATCATTGACATCATCAAGCGAAATAACAGTCAACGAAGTAAGGGTTGACAAAGACATTAATTGAAGAAGAAAATTTTTCAAATATTTCGATTGAGTATTATCAAAAATGAGTCTGTTAAGTTGACAATATTCCGAAAGCATTCGAATAGGCGATTGCACAAGGCCATAGACGAATATATTTGATAAACAAAGTGAATTAATTCGATGCGTGTTGATCTCAATAATATCAAAATAATATTGTTGATATTCTAATTTCAACATCGATGATATATTAATTTCAATAGGAAAACTGAAATTCGTAATCAAGTCATGAAATCGCAAATTAAGATTAAAAATGCTTGGTACCAGAGCTCCGCGTGGGACGAACATTTTTAGAAAATTTTCAGCAGACAAGAAAGAATCAAAATCTCTTTCGATGTGATTCTATGATATGCATACTATCTCTATCCATTACAATTAAGATCGTTATCTTAGATGACTTTTAAAAACTTATATTCGTTTTTTTTTAATATTTTTGGTAAATTGAACAACATATACCGAATATATTTTAAAATATGAGAATAAAATTTGAAAGCGATCACTTACGTCAATAAATACAATTTTTTAATGGATAAAGATAGTAAGCATATAATAGAATCACAGCGAAAGAGACTTCGATTCTTTCTTGTCTGCTTAAAATTTTCTAAAAATGTTCGTCCCATTCCGTCCCACGTGGAGCTCTGCTTGGTACACATGAAAACGATCGATACATTCAAATGCTTCATAGATAAGTTCATAAGGAAGATCTTCGAAACATGTAATAGGTTCTCTTGAAATGATTTTAAATTAGAAAATATATATGCTGATTACTTATTACAACTTTCAATTCGTATTTTTTTTTCTTTCATTTTCATCATAATTATCGTATTTAAGAAGCCCAGCTACTCATAACACTTTGACTGGTGCAATGTGTTGCTGTAGTAAAGGTAGCACGTTATGAACAAAAAATCCTAACGAATGACGCATTTGTGAAGAAGAACAGAAACAAATTGATCTATGCTTTTTCCGGCTTAGTTGAGTTTTGAGTAGTAATTCTATGCTTTTCGCCGGATAAACAAGAGTTCAATCATCTTCCAAAAGCATAATTGTTGGTAGCATGTAACTATTAATTTAGTGGATCACTATTTTGAGTCATTTCTCATCAAGTACTATATGCATAGACTACACCAACAGAGTGTAAAAAGAACGGCAGTAGACAAGTAACCATTACAAGAAAGAAAAACATGAAAGATCAAACGTGCTTTCGTACGCAAATTTCATCTATGAGTAATAAAGAATACAGTAGGAAAGTTGGAATTTTTTAGCCAAAAAAATAAACGAAATACGCAACTCAATAGAGATATCATAATAATAATACGCTTTTTAATGACACAAATCCGTAGTGATACTCTGCTAATCATACACTCAAACTATTAAACAGAGACCAAAATGAATAGGAAAACTTTCATTCGATTCAACTCACACTGGCAGAGAAAAAAATATTTTTATTTTCTGTCATTCTTATTTTAATGCTCACTTCTAAACAAGCTAACTACTCATTTTTCTCCTTTCCTATTTCAGTGACATTTTTTTCTATTCAATCGAACGCTCTAGTCAGCTTGATCGACCCGGATTAATGATTAAAACAAAACAATTGATTTCGGCTGTAACTTTACTATTAAGCATGTCATATTAGACTGTGTTATGTCATCAACAGATAGTTCGAAGTATCTTCTATAAAACCATGCAAAAATCTAATGAAAAGCATTTCTTTCTATGGAGTTTTTCAAAAAATGATGAGAGCTGTACAAAAATGATCCTAATTAACCCAAATGATTATATAAAAACGTGAGAGAGTGGATGCAAATATGTTAGTTTTTTCAATAGCATTGACATACGCGTGTGTTTTTGCGATAAAAAATATTTAAATCGTTGATGGTAATAATTGTGAAGGTCAAATGTCGTTAATTTCATATCGTTTAGTCTATTTTGTTTGATTGCGTTAAAAATAGGCACAACACTTCTCTGTAGTTGCATTGTTTAAAACTATTTTTTCATATCATCGAAGTGCTTAATAGCAATATTGAATGTGTGACTTTTCTCGTCAACATCAGCCAGCCCATACGGCACTGATATTGTCAAACAGACTTAAAATATTGAATTAAACGTTGATCGATCTATTTTCAGATTAATAACTCGGATAGCCTCAGTCACTTCTTCGAGGAAAGTATTCGAAGGACGAATTCATCTAGGTCATCTTCAATAACGAAATTGTCGAGTTGAAATTTATCTAACTAATAGAAAACTTCGCAGAATATAGTTCAAAAGTAAGATAGTTTATATTAAATCACCATAATAACTACCATAACTATAAACATAAAGTAATCATCATTTTATTCACAGGCAACTTTTGCGAATCCAATTCACACAAACAAAAATAAATGAAGACATGTTCCAGCCATCACTTGTTGTTTGACACTTGAATAAAATCAAGAAAAGCAACGATATGCGTCATTCTTGAGAAAGCATCGTAAAAACATCGTAAAGTAATTTGTAAGATAACTAATGCAATAAGTCTATCTTTTATTGCTAATACCAAAACTAAAATCAGAACAATTCTCGAGCTTTCAGTCATGAAAACTTCATTTCGATTATTCTCTCACATGACTATATGTATGGGGTTAACCATACATAACAAAAGACAATCAACGTCGTTTCTTCTCAACATTATTTATTTTTAGAAAGAAAATAAAAACTTTCACGTTTACATCAAAGCCCATTTTGTTATCGAAAATCGTACAGAAAAAAAACGAAATCTTGTTTTTGAATTCATTTATGAATTCTTGGCAGATATTTTCTCACCAGATGATGTACTTTTCGCGACCATTGATGACGGTGTATCGGCGTAAACCAATCTTTGAATCATAGGTGTTGGTTTTTTCTTTTGATTATGTCGTCGAATTCTTTCTAACTCATCACTTGCCGGATCAATACCAAAACAATATTTCAATATATCCAGTGTGATAATAAATCCAGCAACTAATGTCAAAGCAATGATTGCAATATAAGCAAATGATTTTGAAACCATTTGAAAAACAACAGTTTTCTGTGCAGTCTTTTCACAATGACGACCATAATAACTATCACCAAGACACTCACATGAATAATTCAATAATAATTGTCGACATACACCATTATTTTCACATGGTTTATTAGTACAATTATCTATCAATCTGTCACAGTAAGCTCCTTCCCAACCACGGACACATTCACAATCAGTGTCCAATGTATCATTGCTACAGTTGCCTAAAAACAAAGATTTTTTTGCATAGCTTTCTAGTCTCTTAAAATATATGGAGAGAGAGAGAGAGAGAGAGATATTTACCATTATTCAAACATTTATGTGGTTTACAAAGTCGTTCATCAAGCTCGCAATCAATACCATTGAAACCCATTGGGCAAGTGCAATTATAAGGAGGTGTGTTACTCGCTATATCGTTACATTTTCCATTATGCATACAAGGTTTAGTCTTGGAACAGTAAGTATTCGAAATATTACATTGTGGACCCATCTTCAATGGATCTGGGCAAGGTGCTGGTTCAAATGAGTCTACAAATGATTGACATAAATAGCATTCATAAGTTCTGTTCTTGCTCAAGAATAGATACAGAATGAACATCTACGATTTCTATCGTTGGAAAGTAAAGACCCATAATGCATTGCACCATGTAAAACTGCTGATATTAAACAATACCTAGAAAATTTTTGCTACACTACTGTTTTTTACTAATCAAAGCAGCTTATTAAGTTCTATATTTTAGTAGATATCATTAATCACAAGATGCTTCAAATAATTAACATCTGTAATAGCTCTTTCAATGTGCGTGTGTTCTTTGCCAGTTTATAATCTAATATCATAGCTAGCTTATGAAATATCTGTATTCTGAATATAGTAAAATCCGTGTGTTTAGAAATTCTAATTATTATGAGATCTCTTGCGAATTTTAAAAAATGTTGTATTTTTATATATGTCGATACTGTTCCTATCTTTTATTGGGTCTTCTATTTTTGTTTAGAATGATGGAAATCACAGATCTTTATCTTGTTCCTATAAAAGGAATTTTATTTGACATAAATAGTACTATCTCTAATTATTTTGGTTCTAGTTCTGATTGAAGCGGCAAAGAGTGCAATTAAAATGATGTAGTAAATTTAAGTATCACTCAGTCGGTATAGAATTCGATTAAATAATTCTACGATGCTTTAAAAACTAAGCGAAGATGTGTGAAAAAATATCATAAATTAGTTATTCCAACACAAGAAACTTGGTTGGCTTAGAATTGCTTCTAAAGATATATAAAAATGCTTACTGCAACCCGTTTTTAATAGAGTAAACTTATATATACTACTATTAATCCAATCGTAAACAAATATATTTCCAAGACGGTCAAAATTTAGTTTTAGAATCGTTGGATATGGTGATATCGATATCGATTTCTGTCCATCGTAAGGTACCGGCTTGAAAAAACCGTCAGAATATGAAACAACAACGTGAAACCCTTTATGTAAAATATATAAATAACCATCAAGACCACGGATGACTGAAGTTGGACATTGAAGTTCATTCGTTTGATTCGTCCCATTCCCTGCGACTGATACCCCAGTTAAATTTTCCTTATGAAAGCGTTGAATTCTGTTATTACCACAATCTGCCACATACAAGTCAAAGTTGGTATCAACAAAAATTCCATAGGGAATATGTAGCATATCCATGGCTGATCCTCTAGACCCAGTTCCTGCAGCAATGCTATAGTTCAGTGTTTTGTTGCCATCCAATTTTCCTTTAATAACTCTGTGCTCATCGGGTATCGAACAATACACATTTTCCTCTGTGTCAACAAAAAGACCGTAACAAGCACTTGTAATATTCATTGTGACTTTCTGGACGTTGGTTTGATTCTTCCACACATGTACTTGGTGCGTGGATCCACTGTTAGCTACATAAATATCATCCCGAATTGTCACGAAGAGGCTCAATGGCCAAGAAGAATTATAGTTGATGATTCGGGTCTGGTTGGTTGTGCCAATCGTCTGGACTGTTTCATTTTGATTATGATTAAAAGTAGTGATATACATGATACCATTGACATGGCAGAAAATATCAATAGGATCCGCACCAATTTGAGTGCTGTTTTCAAATATTTCCGCAGCTCCGTATTTCGCAGCACTGGGACAGAGTCTGGGTCGATGATAAGAAACTGCAGGATCTAAACAAAAGTGAGCATCTATGAATATCATAAATTAGTCAACTATTATTAAACGATAGTAAAATCAGCATGGGATACAAATATTGAAGATTCCTTGCCAGCTTAAAAGAATAAATAATTGGATATAAAGAAAAACTGCTAAAAATGCCATCCTCAAGACAAACAGAATACAAAGAATTGAAACTGCATCATATGGGTAACTTGAGTATCTAAGAACTCTTCTCTCATAATTAATCTAGTTCTCTTTTCTCAACGAGTTGAAGACATTAAACAATACAATAAAATTTTTGTGAATAAAAGAGTATTTTATATGTATCGCTCAAACAAAATCGAGCGTAATTAAAGACATAAAATATGCAACTACTTTTCCATGGGACCATAAAAAGTTTTTGAGATAGTCACACACTTTTGTCGTTACGACTGAGGATTATATGATTTATTTTTCTGAAAAATATGCGAATTCCAACCGAGCTTTAAATAGAACCACTCAGATATTCAAGCAGTATATCAATTTTCACGTTTATAAAGTATTTTTCAAATCGAATAATCAGTCCTATTCTGCACTTCAAAATGATAATATCTTAACCTTGTGATAAACTATTCCTTTTAAAAAGAAAATATAATTTTGAGAAATCAATAAATTCTTTCAAACATATTTTTGATAGTCTATGAAACTTTATTGCAATAAAAGTCAGCTGAACGAAGCAGTTTTTGTTTACAACTAAATTATTCTATTACAATAAGCTTACCCGCAGACCAACTGCAATCAATCAAAGCACCGATTACTATTATTAAAATCATTGTTAAGATTTGTTTTGCTGAAAATAGAGAAAATACATTGTCGAATGAAAGATTTCGTACTTATCAACAGTTTACCTTTTACAAGATGCGTATTGATAATAGTTTAAATATAGACCTCACTATTAATATCTAAAAAACAAATTAGATCTTCTATTGTATATAACTCTATTAATTGAAACTAAAACAAACGAGTCATTTTTTCGCAAACTAAATGTGTTTTCTGTTTTCCTCATTAGCACGATCAAGTATGTCGTATGAAAAAATCACAAATATTCATGTTCCAAGAAACAATGGATTACATCCCATACACTCGAATTTCATGGATGCATATCATTCATTGGAATTGTTTGTTTATGCAATACACCGAAACATGAAACTATGTAACACTTTTCTAAACAATTCAATTAATGATAACTGCTTCATCTCCAAAATACTTATCTTTTATTGTATTTTTCTTTTAAATTTGTATCTGATGTTCAATATCATTTTTATGAATTAGAGTTTAGGCACATGAAGTATATTCTAGAGTCATCTCACATTTCAACGAATGACGACAGTGAAATCGATATTCTTTATGTTAATTATTTATCAGACATGAAATCATGTCATTTGCTTATTAATGATCACTTCATTTTGTTTCTAATAAAATTTTTAGCACGTTCAGTTCACAATATCATTGTAGTGTATAATCTTTTTTTTGCTATTTTAATAAAAATTTAAAAAAAAAACGAAGATCTGTCAACAAAAAAAGATTGCAATTAGAATCTTTATTATTTAATATGTTGGTGACGAAAATTAATTATATTTAAGATAGAGTTTGACTTTTTTCTATTTCGTGATGAAAACTATATCATTTACAATAAGATGTCTTTGTTTAATTCTAAATGGCATAATTTCAATCATGGACGATGGATCAATATGCACTTCGCTAAAAAAAGGTGTTGTCCAAAGGAAGAGTTATTTCATTTTTTATATGCTGTTTTAACTACTGTATGAACCAGAGACCGAAACCGATGACAAAAGTGCCATTCGATTCGATTCGGCTTTTTAGAACTGTAATTCGATTCGATTCGGGTTTTCTGGTCTTTTAAAAATTGTAATTCGATTCGATTCGGATTTTCTGGTCTTTTTAAAATTGTAATTCGATTCGATTCGGCTAAAAACACGAAAAAAATTAATTCGATTCGATTCGATTCGACTCAAATTGGGTTTAAAAAATATGGTATTCACTATTACATAGTATTGTTGTTTTCAGACTGTCATCTTAGAATGAGAATAGTCTGTCGATCTTCTATAGAAATATGTTGAATAAATATAATTTATGAAGATATACATAAGAATTATTCATTTTTTTCAAGAAAGAACACATAAAATATAAATTAATGAACACATCTAAGTAGACTAATTAAATAAGTTTATTTTCTATAGAACGAAGAAAAATAATATCATTTACTGTATATGGATCTATATTTACAGTTGACCGTAGCCATACTTAATAAATAAAGAGGTTGATATCAAGACCCCAATCGCACTGGAAATGTGAATAAAGTTAAAGTCTTATTCAGTAATCTAATTGTTACATTAAGAGTTAAAATCACCTCTAAAGTATTACTTAACTCTTAATGCACCAGTCACATGGCTTAATTCAACTATAATGTTAATTTACTTCTCAGCGTGATTGGGGCCTAAATTGACTAACGAAAAAAGAAAGAAAGATGGAACGCTCGTTGTAAGTGAGCATTTCTTATGCCAATCAAAATGCACTTGACCATGATAACGATATGAACAGAACAGGGATGACCATTAAATAAGCACGACTGACAGAAACAAAGAAAGAAAAACAGTGGACGTCCTTTTTCATGCGTCATCTCTTATACTAGTCAACTGCCATCGACCATAACACCAGAACAAAGAAAATGATTTTCAATAGCCGAATGAAACTGAAAAAAAACGAATCGATTCGATTCGGCTTTTTTTCAATTATTTTTTTATTGATTCGATTCGATTCGGTAGTTTTGAAGTTCCATTCGGAATCAATTCGATTCGCCCCAGACGAATCGAATCGAATCGAATTATTCTGCAATTCGATTCGATTTCGGCCTCTGGTATGAACTTCCTATAGATATTTATTAAATACTTCAGTGCATGATCGTATAGAATTCACTTTTTTTTCGGTGAAATAGGATTCGTACTGGTATATTTTTCATTCCCTTGCAATTGATTTGATTTGAACTTTCCATGAATACATTTTCTTCGAAAATGGACGTGGTTTCCCCAAACATACGACAGGCTCTATCAACATTTTTAAATGATTTAAGATTTTATTTTTGACGAAATATATTACTAGAGTGTAATTTGGACAGTTTCTTCAAAGGAAGTTATAAATGACATTCATAACAACAGCAAAAACAATCACACACGGCTCAGAAAGTGACAATCATCAGTCGAATTCATAGATCAATGATTATTGTTAACGGTTTTTAAGAGACAGATTTTTGTACAAATTTTAAGTACTATTTGCTAAATGGCATTGTTCATATCAGAAAAGAAAACCGTTTGGAACTCTTTTCGATCGGTAACAGTATCGTGGTCTGAGGGTAGACTTATCATTCTGAAATAGATACAGATACTATATAGAATGATGTTCAATCAAGTCTCACAACATATCTTCTATGAGATACAAAGAGCATATCAGTGTGCTTGGGACACATCGCTAAAAACATGTCTACTGGTCATTAGTAGTTCTAAAATTGATCTCAGTGTTATTTGATCTAGACTTTTCTTTACGTTGTTCAGTCTTATAATAAATAATATTACAATTCAGATGCTTATCTTTGCTTTTTCAAAAGTTTTTTAAAAGTATGACATAGTTAGGAGTTTGATTATTTCGTCACAGTGAATCAAGTTTTAACGATTTGTTAATTAGCGATGTAACTATCGTAGACGAAAGTAATTAAATTTAAAATTGCTGTCTTTATTTTCCTTGCAACCGAATCTTTCTGTCTATGTACTTTTTCTAAGTCTATTTTATCCTACCTAATTTGTGTCAGTGTATATTGATAGTACCCCAATTTTTTGAGTCAAGATACAAAAAAGTATTTTTCTTCGCAAAAAAAACTGGATTGTATGATACCATGCATTACTGGCTGTTCATCGCTGCTGTTGCTCTCGTATGCACGGCCACATATGCTAATGCACAAGTAAACAGTACGTACTGAGCATAGCAAAGACTATTTTTCAATCAGATACCCTCTTCTGTTTTATTTTGGTCTCTACTATCCTAGTCAACTAAGTTAAAAGGAACTAATTGAGAGAAAAAAAGCGAAATATTGAATGTTTCTATACTCATTTGTTACGTCTATGAACTATTTTTAGGACTTGACTTTGTAGTTTTCACATTAGTCGGTATTCTTCGAGCGGCAGAAATTTCTAAAAGGGATTCATTGCTTTTCGTTCACAACAGTAGATGTTATCAACAGATAGTTCTGATTTGTGAATTTTTACGATTTGATTCATTGCAATGAGTTTTACCGTGTAAGGATCGAAAGTAAAACTTCGATCGTTTCTACATGGTAAAATAAAACCAGAATATCTACATAGTTTTCAAATTCATTCAATTTTTTTTATTGCAAGTTTGTCTTCCCAATTCTGATGCCAACAGTGGTACTTGTGCGCCGATAAATGGGGGCTCAGATTATATCTGCGCGTATCCTTCGAGTTTTGTGTTGCTTGGCAAAGAATGCAATTGACCTACTTGAAACTTTATGAAAATTTTGATGCCAAAGTTCATACCACAGAGATATGATTGGGAATGAATATTAATAAATTAAATTAAAACAAAACAAAAAAATAATTAGCACTGCTCGAACTGTGAACGCGCCCGTTTTTATATTGCTCCTTCGATTTTTAGATTTTAGTGTTAATTTTTTCACATTATAGAAGTGAGAATATATTTTAAAATTGTTGCTCCGAAAACTTAGATAATGTTGACAAGTGCATGGATGAGACATTCTCATATGTTTCCAAAGCTATATGTTTGCGAAGTTTGCATAGAATTTCCTATCACATCATCAACCCATTAAAAATCTGATTTTTTGTGCATAATTGAATGCGATTTGGAGACCTTTGGTTCGATTGCAAAATAATACAAGCATGAAGTAAGATATTATGTTTTTTTCGAAAATTAAGTGCTACTACCCACAGAACTAAGGTCAATCATTTGTCATATTTTAGAAGCAAAGTTATTGAAGTAAGATCGTTATGAATCCATTTGGAATATATTGTAATACTTGGAAAAAGAATTCTGATTGCAGTTATTTTTTAAATTGATTCATTTCCTCGAACCAGATTACTCGGTGCATGAATATTTTCCTGATTTATTACTAAATGTACTCTATCAGAATTATAGCAGAACTTATATTAAATTAATAATTCTTTTTTCAAAAATTATTCCAAAGTTGCTGTTTTCTTCATCAGTTCGACTTTTACATGTATAATAAATCAGAGTATACATGTATAGTATTTCACTCTTTATGTTATTTTTCTTGTATTGTGTTGCACGATTAAACGAAAACATTTCGATATTATGTTGTGCTTCGATGTCGTCTATTTTGGTTTTGCCTGATCTCAGTCAATGTTGCATGTTTCATTGTATTCATTCTGAATTTTTGTTTATGCGCAGTACCAACATTTGATCGATGCCGTCAAGTAAATTCATCGAATAATGAATACATTGTTGCCTTGATTCATTTCTTTTTGCAAGCCATATGTTTGCTTTTCAACAGCAAACAAACGGCAATGATGTATTGAATTCACATCGGTGACTATTTTTGTAAGCATATGCTGATTCATTCTAGAGAGTCATGATTTTGTCTCATATATTTGCGTTGATTTTTCATGTTTTCATATTATTTTAGTTGCTTGTACTTTTACTGCGTCGGCATAGTTTGTTCCAGAAATTTGCTTTGTATACTATTAAATATGCTTGATTCGAGTACGTACTGAAACTATGTATATTCCTGTTAGTATTTCTACTAGTTTACTAAATCTTGTGTTATGCATTATATCGATTTTATCTTGGGGTTTTAAAATGTTCGAGATAATACGTGATGTAATATATCGCTCGGCTGATTCTTGACGACAAGGCTAATAATTCTTACCGAGAGCATTTTATCATAATTTATGTTGATCTCGAGTATTGTAGCATGAAAGTTAATATTGTTATTATTCCAAAACTCTAGTGTGAACTTGATATTGTATTTGTTGATTTTTCTTATCAATAGATCAATATTTTGTTCTTGTAGTCATCAATAAACAAATATACTAGTTTGGATGAGAATCAATGTTCAACTGACAATTCATAGTTTCACGGATAATATTTATTAGCGAATAACTGATACTACTAACAGGCAAACATCTTGCATTCTTAATAATCAGAAAAAGAAATTTCTAGTCAAATTTCATTAACAAATATGTGTTATCATCACACAAAAATGGACATGTCGTCAACACGTCAATAAACTGTTGACATTGATAAGAACAGTAAGCAAAGCTTACATTTATTTGTAGAAAGATTTATTTCGCATAGTCACTGATAAGATTTCTTCTCTCTTTTTTGCAGTTCTGCTTTTACATTATTTTTCTTTCATCATAAAAATGCTGACTATTGGCAATGAGTCTTGATCACAGCCAAAAACTACGTTTATTACCTTAGGAATCCGCCAGCTGTTAACATTGATATATACATTGCATTGTCAAAAATGAATTCTTTAAAAGTATTGAATAAAAATAAAAATACCTCTGAATCATAGTTAGCTGTTCTCCACAGGTTTTTTCTTCCAAAAACAAAAACACGTCGTTTTATATTCGCTACAGATTACATAGCAAGCACACAGCTCTTTCGGCGACTAACAACATCTACGATGCTTTGAAAGTTGTTTAACGTCTTTCTTCAAAATGTATTCCTCAATTTATCACGAAGATTGCCAATAATACCAGAGAAATTCAAGAAACAGTAAGAATAAACATGGATTCCTGTGAATAAGCCAACGTATTACTGTAACTAAATGGTCTAAACATCGAACTATATTTTAATAGCCTAATACAATGCATAACGAAACAAGGATAGGTCGCAGAGGTCCAGCCAGGCCTCATTTTTTAGGCCTATACGGTGTGGCAAGGCCTGTTAAGTTTTTCGAGCGAGTACAATAATGATGACAAACTAGAAACCAGAGGTCCAAACAGGGTACTAGGGCTATTGCTCAACCCGATCCTGGCCCACCTGCCATATGCATCATCCATGGTTTTTAGACTAGTGAAAGTGACCGGCCCATACAGGCGGATCAGGGTGAGCAATATTGAAAACATTATCAAGAGTCTTTTTTTATAGTAATCAAAAGTTGTGTCAGATCTATAAAATGATTGAAAATCTCATCTGACATGCTTTCTTTGTGTCATGTAGGTTGTAAAACGCTACTGTTCTCCGATTCATTTATTTATTATCTTTATAAAGGCATAATAGTTATGCCGTTTTCTAGTTCCGTTTTTTTGCACCACACCCCATAAAAAAACACATGTTAAATTACTACAATTTCCTATTTAACAGTAATCGGCAATATCTTTTCACCTTCTGAGTGACAGCAGTAACAGGAGACATTTCGTTTTGCAATTTCAGAGCTAACTGATTTTTATTTTAAGAAATATATGTTATTTTCATTTTTTCTCTCATAAACTATTCTATGAGACGCTTTTTAGAAAAGATTGAAGCCTCAAAAGGTAACGACTCGTGGATACATGAGTGAAATACTGACTTTGTTTGCAAGACGCATTCAGCATACGTTATTTTTTGTACCAGTATCTAAGCGTATTATTTATAGCAATGATAAAACTACAATAGATCGTTTTTCATTTACTGCACTGGATCTATATGCTAAGCATTTTTTTCTATTATTGCATTTTATAAGAATGAGTTCGTGTTGAGACACTTTTAAACTTTTATTTTGTGGCACTCACATATATTTTCGAAGAAAATGGTGAGTGTAAGTTTAAAAGCGAGATTTTTTGCGGCTCCCCACTCCCCCGTTCCATTCCAGACATTAATAAGTTAAAATTTGTACTAATTAGGAGCTTGGCTAATTAGGCTGCTGTTTCTTTATTTTTTAATTATAGACTACACGAAAAAAGCAATGCTGGACCATTACAGACCATAGCAACTAGTATCTGTCATTGTTAAAGATACGAACTAACAATTAATACTCCATTACAGGCATGAGCAAATAAGTAATGATCTAGTTATAGATTTTGGAAATTAAAGTAGACCTTTTACATGAGCTCTTTTAAATTATTTTAGTAAGCCTAAGGGATATGTGTGAGTGCCACATTTTAGCCTCAAAGGGGATGCGCTAGCAAGCTTTTTTTCTAAATTATTCTTCATTAGTTTGAATAATGTACTTTTTAGATTTGTTTTGCTCTTTCCACCATTGTACTAGTATCAATCGATATCAATATTAATCAATTATGGGCAACAAAAGCACCAAGAAAGGGACACCCCAACAACTTACACCTCAACGTTAGTTCAATATATCACCCATTCAATTTACGATACTGATTTTTGCATTTCAGAAATATCCATGTTTACAGCCTCTACCAACTTCAATGAGAAGCGTAGGGAAATGTAAAACTATTGATAGGAGCTCACTATTGTTTGTCATTTTTTTGTTTAGAAATTCGCGATTGGCACGCCGTAATTCATTCTAAATATACTTGACTTTGTGAATATTATTTCGTTTTCAGGAATTTATTCGTGACTACCCAAACGGTAAACTCGACAAAAAGCAATTTATTAAAATGTATAGTCACTTATATCCAGGAAAAAATGCAGATGCATTCTCCAAGTAAATCAATAGTATTTTTTGCCTATTTCGTAACGTCTTTATTTTCTGTTAAAGGCTTGCATTTTCCATGTTCGATTCTAATCATGATGGAACTATTGACTTCTATGAATTCATCCTTGCTATAGCTGCTACAAGTCAAGGTGATTTGACTGATCGACTCGAAATTGCATTCGATATGTGAGTTCAGTCGAAATCACTATTTTTATGTTTTTTCTGTCATTCAGATGTGATAGTTCAGATGATAGGCAAATCGACCGAAAAGAGTTGGCTGTTATGATTTCGGCCATGGTAAAATTTTAGTATTTCTGTGCTTTATCTTTATCACGAAGAATATATTTATTTTAAGTATGACTTATTGGGAGAAACTAATCGATCAGGAGATTATGATCCTAAAAAGCGTGCTGTAGAAATCATTGGCAAACTTGATGTCAATGGAGATAAAAAACTGAACAAGTACGAGTTCATCGCTGGGTATGTAGATGTATGTTGACTTCGACGAAAAACGATCATGTTTTGTTTTAGATGCAAAAACGATCCAATCATCCATCGTCTTTTGTCACCCAATAATTGAGAGAACCTTGAATTACTGATTAACTTCGCTTTCTTTTCTATTTTTCTCTATTCTTCCCATACACAAGGGGATTTTTGATTGTGTCATACTGAATTATTTTTAAAATTGATGATTAGCTAATATTTTAAAATGCAGAAACACCAAAACATTTCGTTCATAATGTCACACTATTTTCAGAATAAAAGACTCGATATTAATCGAATATGACCATGGCATATCGACAACACTTTTTGTTCCATTTGAAAATAAATTGACTTTGGAATTCTAAGAAGTAGACAATCAGTGACAAGCTCAAAAGAAAAAAATCGGAAGTCCGAATTCTTTCTGGTCTCAGACTTCACTCTCAATCATAGGTGGCGGAACGATTTCCCTCTACGATAGACTCAATTTTCTAGCTAAATGAGATAGGGAAGCGGCAGGACTGCCATGACCATTTCAACTTTGGGAGGAGCGGTGTAAAAAAAACATTATTCTTCAAGATGCTGTGCTCAACATATCGCGAGCACCCAAAAATTTTAAGCGAGAGTAAGTAGTGTTGCCAGATCCACCTGATTTCGAAATCTTTCCAGGATTCTCCGCATTTTTTCAAGAATTTTTTCTCGTTTTTTATTGTTTTTTCTCAATGTTTTTGAAGGTTTTTGCAATTTTTCGGATTTTTCAGAATTCTCAGATATAAATTTCGGATTTTCGACTTTAACATCTGGCATCAATGGGGGTAACTGATAAAATCGTGCTTAAGGTAGTGTAAATTTCATTTTGTGAAATACAACGCAAGACAATTTTTCGAATATGGGGGATGTTACATCCCCGTCACTCCTCGATCAAGGCACCCTTGGGCAGCTGATCACGAATCAACTTTCGCTACTTTTTCTTCAATGTTGACTTCTTGGTAGATTTACATTTTATGAAGCCCAATGGATATCTTATCGAATTCTAGTTCGTATTGGCGATAAAGAAAATATGAACTAACTTTGCAACAATACGCCATGTGTTACTGACGCTGTAAGTCATACGTGAAAAACTAAACAATAATGAAAGACTTAGATATAATTGAGCCTACTCAAGCCTTTAACTGTTCTTGTTTGAGCCTACAGGCTTCGCCGCCTATGCTCTCAATCTCATTGTTGCTGTGCTTTCTCTATGTATAACATATTTCATACTATTAATCCAATCTAAGAAAAAGTTGTTCGTCAAGGATATGTACTGTTTCATTATTTTCGGTCTTTTAAGAATTTCATCATGGTAAGAAGATCGTCGTAGAGATTAATTCATGAAAGAAAATTGTGCTTTTTATGCCTTGAAAATAAGTTTTGTTACTATGCTCAAGATCATCGTATCGGTTGGTTATGCATATGACTTAGTTCGGCTATAATAATCTTATTTTCTTTATTGTTTATAAACGCTCGATAGGATTTTAGTCGGTCTTTTAATCTTGCATACAAATAAAGCGTTTACAGTTATTGCTTGTTTTTTTTCTAATTTATTATGTTTGAGAATATAAAAGGAATTTCCAACCGTCAGAGCAACTCAAAGAGAGGAATACGTTTTGAAGTGAAGCTGTATGCCAGTAATTATGTGTTGTAATGGCATAGTTTTACTAAATGAAAAGATAGATTTAACAGCAACTAAATTTATTTATTTATAACCATAAGGTATGGTCGACGTTTCGATATATTTAATCTCATTATCAAAACTGATGAAATTGCATTAGTGCTGCTTCGTACTTCATATTCGTGTTAGGACTGAAAAGAAACTTGGTGATTTATAATGAGAGAATACTATTGATACCTTATGACGGAGTTCTCAGACAATATCATAAGAATTGGAGGGCTAAATAGTAACTCAGTTAAGTACAAGAATCTTTTACAAATCAAAAAATGCCTACGGTTTTAGTTTACCATAGATGACTGATTTCATCGAGGAGTTTACTAAAAAGTAAATATGTAACCAAGCTTTCGGAAAATTCCATCTCATGAGCATGGATATTTCCTTTTCCAGTCAAACCTTCGTTGATAATGAGTTATTTTTATTAGTAGATAGACTAATTAGTTTTGTATCGTGGCATTCAACCATTGTATTAGTTCTCATTTAGATATAATCAGAAAATCCTGTTTATTTCTTATTAAAAATCAAAAATAATGTAACACAAAAAATGTTTTTTCTTTTTTATTACAATTTATCAATAGTCAAAAACATGCAATTTTTCTGAGGATTATATGTTAACGCCATAAATAACATTGAAAATAGCCGATAACTTTTGCAGAAACTTCACCAAGTTGTCTCTCTTCTGCAATTGTATTTACCACTTTTTCAATCCATATATCTTCTGAACTTTTAATGTGCAATGTAAGCAGATTCGAAATATTTTCATAATTTCTTAGGAAGTATTTAATAATACATTGAAAATCTTCATGCGAAACATGGATATCAAGATGCTGTAATCGAGGACATAACTGTACTAAGAATTCAAATTGTTGTAAAGTGCACAATGATTTGACAGTAAGATTTCTAATATTATTTCTGCTAGATAAAAGCCGAAAAGTTCCACTAGTTTGTGTAAATAAAGCCTGGTCTTTATCAACTGAAAAAAAGTGGATTACCAATGTCTGACAATTATATGCAGAGTTTAAGATTCGAATTGTTTCAGAAAAATGAGTTATTTTATAATCGATAACTATTTTAGTGAGTTGCGATAAACAAACAATATTCCCGAGTAAACTAGAAGCTGATCCATCAAACGTATAAACAGCACCGGATATGGTAAGTTCAGTCGCATTTGGAAAGTATATTGAACAATCATTTACTCTTGATTGTTGTCCGATATGAACATGACGAACTAAATCGAGATTATAGACAGTTTGACGTAGGTAGCTGCATTGATTGCATACGTTTCTCAATTTATAGTAGTTTCTTCTTCAAATGAAAATAAGAGTCAATTTCATGTATGAAAAATAATTATCATTTTCTATACCTGTATGGATGTGTTGAATAAAAGATTACATGATTTGAACGTTCTAGGCTACTATGTTGATGTCTAAAAAACCATTTTCGTTTCGTCCAAAACGAAGTCGTAAATCGATTGGTCAAATTTTGACACGAATTTATATCCGTTCCATTCTTTAACACATGTTCATGTTCAATATTGAAAACTCGCAGTTGAGGCATATAAGATGAAATTATTTTTTCCCATCTTTTAGCATTTAAATATTCGATATCATGACTCGTCGATATACGCAAAACTTGAAGATGATGAAAAAACTTCATAATCGATGATTCAAAATAATCAAATGTTATACGTTGTAATTTGAGATTGACGTGTGTCAGATCTTTTAAAAAAAGCGGAAAATCTTTATATCTTTCGCGGTAAGAGTGACATAGATGACCGATTGATAAATGACGAAGATGAGGAACGTATGATAAAAGAGACACTAGCTCCACAAGCGACACCTCATTCTTAATAATAAGATACTCAATAGAACTAAAAGTACCAACATTTTGAGGCAATGAATCACAAATGCCAATGCCATTTAACGATAATACACAGCGTTTCAATGCTGGTAAACGAAATATTCGTTCATAAACAATATTTTTACCCCGAATATTATAAACAGAATTTATTATTAACAACGAAAGAGTTTAGACAATGCAGCTAAATGTTCGAGCATATTTTCCAGATATTCTAAATCAATATTCTCAATAACTAATGTCTTAAGTTGACTAAATAGTACAATATTTTCAGATGCTGGTAAAATTAAATCGGCGATATATGGATTCGATAAATACATCGAACTGATTCTATGTTCACTAGGCACGATGAACTGTTCATAGTAATTATGAAATGATGATTTCGATATATTTGATGTATTGAGTTTAATTGGAAAACTTGACAACATAAGAATATTTCTAAATCGCTTATTAAGATTATAAAATGCTTGATAAACATGATAAGCATCAAGATATTCAAAAATGTCGTATACTATTTCATTGCTAAGATTTTCAAATAATTGGTAGCGCCCGTCCATAGATGTGCTGATTGTGATTTTTGCTACTACGAAGACGAAAAAGAAAAATCAAATCAAGACAAGTACGTATTTAACCAGGAAAGTATTTTTTATTCTAATATGTGAAAGTGATCTTGCATATTTTACGAAATAAGTTAGTCATTTATGTCCAATCACTAGTCGCAGCAGTAAACAGCATGCTTGCCAGGGTAAGAAAGGAAATCAAAGCGTAAAAATAGGTTTGAGTCATTAATTTTACTCAAGGTGGTGTAATTCGTATAAACTTACATTGAATATTTGGCAGTAAAGTGTTTACAACTGGTTTGTGTGACAATATTTATATGTTAAGTTTTACATGACTCACTGGGATTTTTCTTATCTATAATAAAATACTCAATAATTGTGCAATCTTTTTTTATTCCCTTTTCTGAAAGAAAGATGTTAGCTCTAATATGTATAGAATGGAAGGAAGATATAAGGAATGAAAGAGAGATATATAAAGAGTGAAAGAGACAAGCAGTGTCACTGATGTTATGTGACAGAACGAAGAAAAATATGACATTCATGGGGATCGAACCCATACCTTCTACTATCCGGGCTGATGTCCTACCAGTTAGACTAGAAGAACGTATTAAGGGAGCCCCACCCCCCTCAGTATCGACTTGCCAGTTTTCAGCATAGGTTTGAGCTGAAACTTTCAGCGATACATGGTGGCAGTGAGAAACGCTTGTGGTAAAAATTTCAGCCATGTATACCTTACTAAACTGGACTTACGACTTGTTTTATAGCTTTCACGAGCATCGAAATAACTTCTTGACTGTGAAAGTTATCGAGGTCGGGTAGATTTCAAATTAAAGCTAGCCTCCCTACGCAACATTTCATCGGACGGAATTTTGAAATTCCCTTCTATTAATTTTTTATCAGCATTTTATTCCGTATAACAGCCAAATTAGGTATAAAAAAGCACTAAATCGGACTTTTCTCAGTCCAGGAATCCAATATCGAAAATCCGTCTGATAAAAAGTTAACTATAATTGAGAGCTTTAAAATAAAATAACTGGGAAAGCTAAAACCAAACGAAAATTATAGAAATTTTTCTGCTTGAGACCCATGTTTTCAGACCACCATTTAGGAATTTTTAGAAAGGTGTGTGGGAGTAAAGGAAATGAAAGAGTATTTCTTCAATAAGTCTGTCAAAACTTAACCTTTTTTCAAATAATTATATATATTCTGAAAGAGGAGATCACGGGGAAGCTTCCTATGATAAAAACTCGATTTCTGTTTTTTCGAAAAATCGGCTTTTCTGAGGGGGGGTCCTTAATAAGTTTAGTTGTCTTTTGAATTGAGAGTGGGATTTGAATTGAATCAAGTGTCAGAGTCTTTTATCTTTGAACATACACACTGGAATGCATATATTTGTATCACGGAGCGAGAACGAACCGTACCGAAATGAACTCAAACGGAATCGAGCAAAAATGTAGATAAACTGAGCTGAAGTCGAAATAAAAAAAAACAGGATTTGATTAGGTCTGTAATCTATGAGTGTGGAATCCTGTTAGGTTTCTATAGTGTCTACACTAGTTTGATTTGCAGGTTCACTGAAACGAAGTATCTCGATGATATCTCTTCTGGATGGCTGCTTTTCTTTATTTTATATCGAGCTTATTGAAATTTTTCTGAACGTTGTTGTAGTTTCATTAGTTTCGACGCGCCTAATTTCACTCTAGTCATTTTGTATCCATAAATAGCACTCAACAAAATATTGCTTGATGATACTTACAAGTAGGTTTTCTATCTAAGTTTAGCTATCAGTCATTTTTTCCGTTACAATTATTACCAAGCTATAACCCGGGTGATTGAATACGGCCATCAGATAGTGGCTGTATTTAACGCTTGACGGCCGTATACAAACCGTATTGATCGACCAGGGAAGTATCTGATGTGTCTCATGTAAGCGTTTTTGCTTTTTAAATGCTAATATCCTTTTAGTAGAGGGTTAGCGACACTAAGGTCGCTTTACTTGTTGAATAAGGCAATAAATCACGATTGAATTAGTTACTCTGTTGCATAACTATCTTCCGAAACAGACGTCGCACAAGTTCATGGTAGACTGCTTTTGTAATTCACAAAGAAGTATCATTCTTATTTTTTCAGAAATGGGTCAGCGAATCCGTAGGATGAGCGCTACTTGTTACTTTTGGTCTTAATAAATCTACACTTGGAATAGATTACACCCACATACTATTAAGAAAAATACGTCAAATTTCGAACGAATCATCGAATACTTTGAAGCGTGCGCACATTGAAAACGAATGTTATTTTAAGGTTTCTTTTTCCTAGAGAAAATTTCGACTAGTCGTTTTACCTTATATCCATAAAGTAAAAAACAAATACATGTCTGCCAACGTGCTACGATGTGACAATACTTCTGTAAAGGTTTCTTTTTATACATGAAATGATAAAAACTTGACATTAGAAACTAGTTGACTTTTTTTCCAACAGCAGAATTGTGATCGAGGTGAAAACGCTTTCCCTATCGTAAATTTATTAGGAACATTAAAAAAATATTATTAAATCGATTGTTTACCATCAAATCACGTTGATGTCAGATTTGCATAGAATTCTATTCATAGTTTTAGTTAATTTTGACTCTAATTATGATTTAATTCGTTACATCAGGCTTTTTTTTATTTTGAGAAATTGAGAAAATTCTATTTGCACCAATCAGTTGATCGGAATTAAAATTAAAAAAAACTCGCTACGATGAGAACTCCATCACAGCGAATCAATTAATTCATAAAGAACGATCTCGATAAAAAAAAATAAAGCTCTCTGAAAATTTTCTGCTTCTACAATTCAATGTGTACTATGCACAAGTTCTCATCTCTATTTGAAAAGTCAGTATGAAAACTGAAGGTTATAGATTTTTTATAATAATCAAAACTTTATTTATTCATATAGATATGTGTATGCGTATAAATATGCCTAGTTTAACATGCAATTTCGAAACAATGAAAATAATACACAAACAATATTTAAACTCGATTCTTTTGACTTTTTTAATTATAAGTATCTATTTTTGCAATAGTATTATTTTGTTCCAAAAATGATTGACATTGTTTGTTGTGCTCGCAGTTTTCGATATATATTTGTAATTAAAATTGTTTCAAATCTCGAAGAAATCATTTTGATACGATTAAATAAGTATAGAATGGTATAGCATTATTGGCAAATAATAATAAGAATGCAATTGTAAATATAAAGGTTTCAATTTGAGAATATTCAACACTTTTTTTGATGTTATATACGAACCAATCATCATTTCAAGAAGAATAACGGATAAAGTGTTGTTGAAATAACATAAATAAATACTTCAGTAATGACAATAATTAATAATGCTTTATCTCGTCGTGGCATAGTAGCATTACCTCCAACTGTATTTTACTCATAGGTTGAACACGTAAATACATTTGTCTCATTTGACGATTAGTTAAATAGCCAAATATTCACAATATATATATTTGGTGGTATTAACCCAACAAATATTATTGAATAAATTGTATATACTGTTGAATAGGTACCAAACGTTCCGCATCATTGACTGATAATCGTTGTCATAATTGCAATATGACTTGCAAATATAAGTCATCAAATGATTGCAACACATATAAGAACTATCGCACGTTTAGGTTTACTAAACGCACGAAGCTGGCCCGACTACTGGTAAACATGAAGCGCTCTATGCAAGCTAAAACAATCGTGGTTCTGCCTATTTGTCCCGAAACATTTGATACATAAAAACGTATTTTACATAAAGCAAATGTACGTAATGTTTCATCGTTATAATAAGAAGGAAATATTTGAACAGAACTATTAAATGTTAAATACAAGCTATTTGTTATGGCTGAGCTCATTAAATAAATTGAACATGCATTCATACATCGTCGCTTGAAGATAATAACAATAAAGATATTACCAATATTTCCCAAAGTTAAGCATATTGAATATCCTTACAGGTTAAGTTGATTTTGCATAACAGGTAGAATTGATGTCGATATGACTTTTTCTCAATGCCGAATGACTTATTCAAAATAAATTTGATAAAGTTTTACACGAATAAACAAATAGGTAAAATTTGATGAAAAAAAAGTCTACTCATGTTCTTCATTTTCTATAAATAATATATAGAAGAAAATAAACTATCGCATATATTAATTCAAAACCAGATACGGGAATAAAACAAGAATGACTTCAGCTAACTTTCTAAATGTAGTTCTTAGGTGAACCCTACTTTGGCCGAAAGTAAAAATATCGACTGATAAAGGTCAAAAAATTTCATATTTTAATTCGGCCAGATCGAACTCGTGCGGCGGGAAACGGCAGAAAAACACCGGAAATCACTGGAACGTGGAAGCAGTTTTCCTGCGGGATACGGTAGTTTTTCCCACATTTTCCTGCCGGTTCCCGCAGTACCCGTTCTCCGAAATCATTGACCTGTGATCTGTGCGTGAAAAAAGGTTAAAATCTTTTTTTTCACTTAAAATGTTTTATTTATCGAAAAAACGTTTGGAGCAAAAATTTGGTTAAAACAGTGGAATCGTGCTTGATGAATATCTAGTCTTCAGCCGTAAATTAGGTTTCTAGACGTTTCTTTTTTGCTTCAACAACTAATGAGTGATCGGTAAGTAGATCTGATGAGTTGATGACACCACCATTATATCTAGCATAAAGAGTAGTGATGCAACTTTGTGTGAAAGCTGTAGGTGGTTGTCTTTTTATGCACCAGTAGAGTGTGAGTGTGGCTGCCATTTTCGTTGTTTTTATACTTGGAAATTTCTACTGTTGAAAACTTTTCCTGTCGACATTTTTTTCCCTTTTGACCAAAGTAGGGTAAACCTTAACACTTTTGATAAATAAATAAGATTTTTTGTAATGAAAAACATACAACAATATGATGGAATGTAACGCAAAATTTACAAGAGCAGACTTTTGTTTTCTGAAAAGAATTTTTTAAACATACGAATGCATCCATGGTAGGGTTTTTTTTAAAAAGATTGCTTTGCTTGAAAAATGTCGTACCGGAGTCATCAACAGTGAGATAGGCAGTAAAACAAATGACTATATTTGATTCCACCGCTAGATCTTTCGAATTAATTTCATGGTTTTTAATCTAATCAACGATATTTCACATCCCAAAGTCATTAGCCTTTTTCTTGTCGCTTACTTGGAAGTAAATAGATCTATTAATATAGACAAGCGTCAATACAACAGTCTGTTTTTATACATAAAACAGAAGTCTATTTATTTCTAGAGTGTTTACTGCCTTTTAATAGATCTCCCTCCAGGTGTTTGATTGCATACTTATAATTTTTGTTGTGGATGACAAATCAAATTACTTTATTCAGAATAATTTCATTAGTTTACCTTCTGGTTGTGATACTTGACAAGCCTACCTTTACATATTAGACCGATATTCTTTTCGTCTACGGTATTTAATGATACTTGCTGGGACAGGCATTTAAAACATAATTAAATCATTGTTTATTAGATTTATATTGTTACTCACTATTGCTATGAACACGTTTTGTAACATATTCTAATCATACAAAAAAAAAACATTGATGATTTATCAGACATATAATATTTCTATGACGATTATCTAGTATAACAGCGATTAACCTCATATTGTATACTAATCCGTATTTATGTATACATATATTCTATTAATATCCTCTATATCAACTTCTGAGTGGGCCAGTAAAAATAAACGACCTTTCTTGCCTGAAATGCATCAGCAATTCTTAGACATAACGAAAAATACTATAGCAGCTGTCTTTTGATCGGATTATTGTCGCAACTAGATCTCATATTCTTTAACAGGCTTACTCTCTGATATGCCGAGGCTACTAGTCATTTTTGTGAAGCATAGTTTTCTATGTACATCATTGTTTATAACAATATTAGATATTCATTTTTCATGTGAACTCAATGCAATAATACGTGTATCTAAAATATATTTTACTTTCTATTTCCAATTGATCAATGAAACCAGTAATCAATCACACTGATTTTATCCGTTTCGATAGAATTCCTTAAAAGTGTGTTGAACTGAATATCTACATAAGAAAATAGGGAAAAAGACATACGTATAATTCTCATTTGATTTTTGTAGGAACTATTTTGATCTTCCTGTTTCATATCTGCTTTTAAATGACATAATGTGTAAATATCTTTCACAATCTACAAAAGTCTTAATGAATGCAAGTTTCGGTATTATTTTATTCAGCTAAGTAAACAAAATCCTTTCTCTCTCAAACAACATCATTCATTAATGTATCAACCACATCGATGAATCGTCAAGTTTGAGACACCGTTGGCAATTGTTTCAGCTGTTTTGCATGCCAGATCATAGCAGCATAGAGCAGAAGGACTCAGCTTACCATCACCACATACGGCATCTTTCAAAAGGCACACCGGATTATCTGAATCGCCTGGGTAGTGCTATGCAGAAAGTAGTAATAATAAATAATAGTAACAACAATAGGAAATGATAGATACTCCAAATTCATTGGTTTGCGTCTCTTTCTCAAAGATAGACATATCTAATGGCCATGTTTGTCCAGCCCATTGGGCCCATATGCTGTGATCTTCATATTCATATCCTGAATTTGGATGTACGAGCATAGAAAGATCGCCTGAAAAACAGCGGTTGAAGGATCTTTAAAAAACTGAAAACTCATGTTTTACCTTTGTTTTGTAAAAGCCATGGAGTAACGACTGCATAATATCCAATCGGTAGAAATATAGACCATTCACCACTGACGAAAGGTCCACCAATCAACGTTGTATTTTCTGAGTAAAAGGAGCAGAAAAATATGTTCATGTGCAAAGCATCATTCAAAACTTGTGTAACTACCGATATCGTGATCATTAATCATGCATAGATATCCATAGTCATATCGACCCGGACAATCTGGACCAAGATAATCCTGGAACTGCTGACGTGTGAGGTTATGAAGTGCTAATGCTGCCTTTACCGACTACAGTAGAAATAAAGTACAGAACAAGAGACTCCAATATCGAACAAACATACCGATGGATTGAATAGAGTATACAAGATATGTATATGATAGCTGATAATTGGAGGAGGCGGTGATGGAAGAACACGTATAGGACCACTTTGCTGCCGTTTTAAAGCAACATGTGGGTAAATTGTAGGGTGAGCAACAAGACCTTTGCACGCCAATGAGGCCAGCAGTATAAATGTGTAGATAGCAATCATTGCTTCAATAAAAGAAAAACAGCAACGTGTTTGTGATAAAAAACAAATGAAAGTAATTCTTCAAAAAATGATAATATATCTTATAGTAGCTAACAGATTCTTGCGGAAGAAAGAAAGCAGTATCATAGAGCGGTCTGATTCTGCAATCGTTATTTATACAAAAATAGAATCCTTTCAATATTTATTTTATCATTTGCAATGATGAATAGAGAGAATCAACGTATCTTATCTCTCCAAAGTTAGTTTTTACATCGTCAGTCTCAAGGGCATCCACGTATAATAGAATATAAAAAACAGAGTGTCATAAATAATCATTTTGAAAATTCTTTTGCATCATAGTCGAGATAATGAATATGCCAAGAGAAATATTTTTGTAGAAACTTTAAAGTCAATCAGAAAAAAAAGACAGTTGAGAAATTACCATAAAGGAAACAAAAACGATATCTCTTATATAATCTCTGTATGCTATACTGCAAAACTAGCTAGCTGTTTCCACGAGTACTTGCTACATTTTGCTTAACGACAGACTTGATCGAGTCGTACTGGATTGCCCGCTTTACATATCTTCAAATAATTTGATTATTTTTGATGAATAAATTGTACAGTTTTTTTCTAAATTTGTTGTCGTCATAGCAAAAAGTATGCTGGTGAGAAATATCATAATCATTACTGAAGTGGCAATGCAAATATAGAGAACATAGGAGTAGAGATAGACTAGATGATTATACTAGCATATTTGTCATGAATTGGTAATAACTCTATAATATTAATTATGAAATTTTAGAATACATATATTTAACGAATTTCCACATATTTGAATACCTGTGAAGATTCTGTCAAAAGTAATATTTTTCATTACAATAATATTTCAATTCTTCTATATTAATCATCTCATTGCTCTGTGTATCATTTAATGATGTCAAGTAAAAATATACCACAGCTGCCATCCGATTACATAATTCAATGCACGCTCTTACAAATATTCGGATAAACCCATAATGTTGAATGAAATCACGCAGCGATTTTGATCGATGAACTTAATGTCGAACGTTCGTTTGTCTTCTTTCAAAACTAGAAAAATCAATATTTATCTTCACGATAGATTCTAATCTTAGTGCATTAATCTACTAAAAATGATTCTTGTCTCCAGAAATAAGATCATGTGTTGTAAAACTATACTAGAGAATTTCTACGTTTATTTCGAAAACAGAATGTTCAGAGAGCCAATAAATCGATCCCTAGTCTATTTTGAATAACAGTATAATATCCTATAAACGCTCTGTTTTTTCTAAATAAAATATTGTATCGAAAGAACGAACATAAAACTCATATGTAGACGTTTTAAATCAGTTTGTAGTCAGTTTTAATAGTGTATTGATTTGATCTATTATAACTATCACAGTAGTTTAACTTAAATACTCCTCAAGTATAAGAGTAGCGAGAGGTGGTATAGTCAATCTAAATGACCTTCCGCTTGCAAAAGAATTGATTATTTCGATTTCAACATTTTGGAACAATCCTGATCCACCATATACTGGATTATCTGAATTGAAAATTTCCACTATATTTTGAATGCGGCGTATATCTGAATCCGACGATGGTAAGGAAATATCATACGATGAATATCCGTAATTGGAAAAATTGTGAATAACAGCCATACGTCTATTGTCATAGGTACCCCGATGATAAGCTACGATTAAATTGGGTCCATACTCGTAGATCATTCTAAAATCTTGTTCACCATTCTGCCAAAACTGTTGGTGATGTTGATAGAGTCGATTAAGATCAGCAATATATTCTTGCATTTTTCTATGCAACGAAGAAGTATTAACCAATGACCAGTCTACACTAGATCGACCTTGGCGAAAACGTTGATACCATGACATAGGCTGAACTAGTTCATCTCCCATATGAATCATATGACCACGACTCGGTGCTAATGTTTGCCAGGCGAAGAAATTTCGAAGATCAGCAAATTTTTCAGAATCATTACTACTGTGAGATACACAACTTAGTAGGACACTGTTGCTATTGTGCTCGCCGGAATCAGTATCATCGTGACTAAGTGTAAGAATCGTTTTATCTTCGTTTTTACACGCGACATTAAGTATGTTAAGAACTTTTTGCTGCCAATGATTTGATCTCTCATTGTAAGGCGTGCGCAATAGATTTCGAGCGTCACAACTCCAGCCGATATTCCATTTCAAATCAAAATCCATTATCTTCGTTAAATTTCGATAACCATCAGTTTCTTCTGCAATGCAAAGAACACCAGGATAACATCGATGAATCGTTTTGTTGAGATTACGCAAGAATGCAATGGCTGCAGGAATATCGTTCGAATGTCGTCTAATCATTGTACTGACCGCATCAAAACGGATTCCATCCATATGCATAACGTCGAGAAAATAAAGAGCACTAGCGAATAAGAACCGACAAGTTTCTTCTTTATTAAAATCGAAGTAGAGCGTTCCCCAAGCCGATGCCTCGCCGGCATATAAGTTTGTTCCATCGAATTCATGTAGAGAGATTGAGAACGAATCCGATTGATGATAATGTTGGAAATGAGTTAGAATCCAATCGAGAATGATTCCAATATTATTCTGATGTAAATGATCTACGAAAAATTTTAGATCATCACATATGCCATTGTCACGATATGGAGCAAAATAATTGGCTACTTGATAACCCCGAGCCGGTTTATAGGCATGATCAAGAATACCAAATATTTCTACATGAGTAAATCCCATTTGTTGACAATAGATTGCTAGTTCAGGAGCTAATTGACGATAATTCAATGGATGATAGACATCATTTTTCCATGATTTCAGCTGAAGTTCATAGATAGACAAAGGTGATCGTAATGGATCAGTTCGAGCTCGTGTTTGCATCCAAAGTTGGTCGCTCCACTGATAAACCGTATGATCATGAACAATAGAATGCACTTGATTGACTTCGGGAACGTACACAACAGAGAAACTTACTGGATCTGTTCTTAACATTTGTTTACCATTACAATCGTCCACAAGGTACAGATATGTAGCACCGGGTAATATTTTATCGGTGACAGTTTCCCAAAGATCTGAGTCATCCTTTTGCATCGCTAGTCTCGACATCTCCGTGCCATATGACGTCAGAATAACCAATACACATCTTGCATTAGGCGCATACACTCGAAAAGTCGTATTTTTATTTTGTTTTGAGTATTGTGCACCACGAATCTCATAAAGTTTTGGATGTATATTCGGTTGACTTTGGCTCGTTGTCATCACAATCGCATCGATTGATGGTCATGAAAATTGAAACGCGTGTACCACAGTCAGAGAAAAAATAAGGAAAAAGAAAACGTGTTGCTTTTATCTTTGTAAACATGACTCGTGAGACCGCATGCTCGCGTAATGCTTTGAATCTATGAGTTGCCATTTATGGTGTGCATTAGTCAAGACGAACGACTAAATTTTGTATGAATTATAGACAAATTAATACTGTCATCAATGTGCTGAGGTTAATACAATTTATCAAAATTATATCATAGCAAATAGTAAATATCGAGTTATGGAGATTTGATTATTGTTTTGAAATGTTGATCTATAAATAGCTTCTTACAGGAACTATCACATTTTCGCTGCAACTATTCTAAATATGATTTTTCTTCACTTGTAATTGGTTTATAGATGCTAACCAGATTGTTGTTTTCTTATAAATTCTAAATTAAGAAGTTCGTACATTATTTGTACTCTGCTGATATTACAACTTGAAGTAGTTAAAGGTAAAAGTAGACAAGCTTAGCTTTTATCACAGTTCTCGATGTTGCATGGCTGTGAATGCGTTTACTACTGTGGTTATCACTTCAAACACATACACACATAAAGACAGCGTGAAAACAATATCGAACACGGCAATCTTCAATTTTATGACGTTTTCTTTTCTTAATCTACTATGAGCAGTGAAAAGTAAGAAGAAACTCAATCATATTCATAATTTCATGTTCTTTGCGATCTACGTAACTGATGATATATAATTTTGTATTTAATCGATTCAGTTTCATTTTCATTTAAACCACCGCGAGAAGAAGTTTATACGGATTTGTTGTGATTCTATGTCTTTTTGTAAATAATGAAAGCTTTCATTCGCTGCGAATTAGAACAGTTGATTGCTAGAAATCTTATAACTTTTAAATTGCCATAATCGGGAGAAAAATTTTGATTTAAGTTTTTTTTCAAAGGCAGAAATAATCGAAGTATAGTTTTTTATTTGAAGTAGGTAAATTGGATTGATTAATATCAGAGAAAAAATAAGTTTTATCAGATTTGATCATTCATAGGAAGTAGATCGAGTAGTCATTTTCATTAAAATAGTAGATGCGCGATCTTGATGTACGTTTTGCTTGGAGGCAGTTCGATTGCGCAAACAACATTGAAAGTGCTCGTGTCTTTTCACTCGAAGACAGTAACTTTTAAGATTTTCAATAATGAAGCATTTCTCATTCGCTGCACCAATTTCTTTTTCTTTCTTGTTCTTTTGCAGACAAGTGAGCAAACATATACTTCAAGGTCCAATAATATTTGTTGCATTTAATATATAAGCAAACTTGAATGTCTCACAATTGAGAAAGAAAAAGGAAAATGTAACTTCATGTTGACCAGGTAGGTAGGCATCTAGGTAACCACATAACAATAAGTCAATCTACAAAAGCATGAATGGAGTTAGTTCTTTGCTCGAGATAAAACTACAAGCGGTTATTTATATAGGATACTCAAAACAAAAGCAACTCTGTCAAAACAAAAGCTCTTGCGTTCTTTGTATTTGGAAGAAAAAACAATCGCAATAATCTATTTAAGTAGATGTACTATTTAATTTGTGCATTAAACATCACAATAACTGTCTGTAATTAAAATGAATCATAATGCTAAAGATAAAATTTTTACCTATGACATTAGTTTGAAAAGAAATACTTGAAAACATGAATCATATGTGTTTGAATGTGATGACTGTTTTATGGGAGGTTTGTAAAGTTTAAGATTTATGAGAAAGTTTTTCTCGATATGATAAAAAACAATCGCTTACTAATCTATAAGCATCTTAGAATATTGAATAAAATTCATCATTATTTTAGATAATAGTTTAAGATAGTATTCCTTGTTTGTCATCATGTTAACAAACCATTTTACACGAATATCGGAGTATGCATCATCAACTGGAATAAAACGTAAAGCTATTAGTGCATTTGGGCGTGTCGGTTCCCTTTATGACAGTTGTCGAGACAATATACTAGTTAACGATAATAGACGTATTTCGAGTCAATCCTACAAGACGTCCGGGTCAGTAAAGTGTATGGTTATACATGGCCATTCGGAGGCAGGTCGTAATCTTCTTCGAACTATTGATATAGAAAATGATTTACGACTGAGTTTATTATTGAATTTAACACGCCCGCTTGGAATAGCTTCAGTTTTGACTTATTCTAATCCTATAAGTGAAAATACACGTTTTTTATCCTATTCTTGGATCGCTCGACAAGAACAAATTTCAAGTGAGGTCATAAGAAATATGAAATTAAGTGATTCAATAACGCCTACATGTCCTGCTACACACGTAATTACTGGCGTCGAGCATGGAATTGATGTGCTTGCGGTTTTACAGTTACCAACGGAAACGCGTTCTATTATGGAAATTGATCATATACTTCAGAAAATTAGTAGATGTCTTTCTAGTGGTGAGAACATACTTTCATTGTTGACCGCTGAAGAAAATAATCGGCTTATAAAAATTAATAATATCACAATTTATTCAAACATACCTGATTTGACTGCTTTGGACGATATTTTTAAACTTTTTCATCAAATACAAATAATTAAACGAAATTCCAACGCTTGCCAACCGATAACGTATTTGCTTCAACCATTGGCAGAACTATATCCTAAAAATATGAGAAATTATGCTGTACTTCATGATTTACCTCCAACACTCCATCACAGTCTCGAACAATATGTACTGCAAAGAAGAACAACAATAAAAAGCTTAAAGGAAGTTTTTCAGAAAAAGCTTGAAAGATTTTTAAAAAACTATCTTGAAGGGCTGTTTCGCGGTGCCCATGTACGATATTTACAGATTCAAAGAGACTATCGCCTGGAAATAAAACAACTTTCAAACTTGCTATTTGATTTTCGCACTGGTCAGATAGGAATATCTGTGGTTAACAATAATTTAATCGATAAAAGCCGAACCAACTCAACTTATGAATTCGTTCGCACTGTATATACTTTAGAAGAAAAAGCAAATTTTATCAGTTATTTGTTAAGTCAAAATTTTAGCTATTTCAATGCTATTGATCATCATATAAATAATCGTGACAATGAAAACACGATTCCAACTAAAATACCTAAGATTGGTCCTAATTATCGAATTCTCTGTTCCGATGATACTTTAAATAGAAATTATAGAGAAAATTTCAATCAAATACGGTTACGTTTGCAACAAGAACAGCGACGTGACCCTAGTTTACGTCTTATCTATGCTGATTTTTCTTATTCTCTCTATAAAGTACATAACATACATGTTTTAGGATCAACCAATAACGAAAAAAGACCAATCCAACAGCCTCAATCATCATTTAAAAAATCTGCAACTTTTCCCGAGGTACACCGAGAAGAGCGACCACCATTGAAGGAAACTCGCAATGCTACTCGTTTATCATCAACCGATGAGACTATTAATATTCTTCTTCTTGGCGAAACAGGCGTTGGAAAATCAACTTTTATCAATGCTTTTATTAATTATCTTAGATTTGGTACGTTCGAAAAAGCCCAATCCAATACACCAAGCGTACTGATTCCTGTTTCGTTTACTATGACGATCGGTGATCATTTTGAAGAACGTACAGTACAATTCGGTAATGTGAAAGATTCAAATGGTGAAGATTTTAATCATCGTGGACAATCTGTAACACAACATTGCAAATCTTATATTTTTACTCTCAATCATAATGAAATTTCTAAAAAAATAAAAATACGTATTATTGATACCCCTGGTTTTGGTGATACGCGAGGTGTGGGTCACGATGAACGAAATATGGAACATATTTTACAGTATATCAATAATCTTACACATTTGAATGCAATTTGTTTTCTTCTCAAACCGAATGCATCAAAATTAAATATATTTTATCGTACATGTTTTACTCAGCTGTTTTCTTTTCTGAGTCCAGCAGCTCGTCATAACATCATCTTTTGTTTTACAAATGCTCGTTCAACGTTTTATGCACCTGGAAACACAGCTCCATTACTCAAAACGATGCTGGCAGAATCGTCGATGAGTGATATTACTTTCAAAAAGGAGAATACATTTTGTTTCGACAGTGAATCATTTCGATATTTGGTTGCACTAGAAAATCGAATTCCGTTTACCCTTAATGAAAAACGAGAATACGAACTGAGTTGGTCAACATCAGCGAAAGAAGCAACTCGTCTTATTGATTATATTCGTACTAATCATACGAGCTCTCCTATATGCAGCGGATTTCAATCGATGAAGCAGGCGCAATTTGAAATTTCCTCTATGATTCGACCAATACTAGAAACAATACGAAATATTTTACGAAATATTATTTTATGCAAAATGAATCAATCGAATATATCAATCGAGCTGTACCCGAAACATGTGCTTAATCCAGCGGCCAAGTGCTTTTCATGCCACCCTCCTACTATCAATCTTAGTCAGTTTTGGATTGCATTGGATGTTCCGCATCAATTCAAAAATAAATGTCACACATGTTCATGTGCTGCTGACCGACATGCGCCAATTGATTATGTATTAGAATATAAATCGATAGGCAGATCGCCGACTTATCATCTAAATGAAATGAACGAAATGTTGCATCGTATATATTTTGCCAGTGCAGAACTATCACTTTTTCTCATTCATGGTGCTTGTTCAACTAACGATGATCTATTTATATTAGGTTTCAAACAAATGATTATGAATGAGAAAAATATTTGTGCAGAACAGCAATCGAATAAAATGAATATCCAATTAGTCACGGAATTAGAAAAAGCTCAATATGAATATGAACAACGAATACGTGACGTAGCTTCAGATCACCGAACAAAAACATTAGCTAATATCTATGAGCAGATGAGGCAAATTCGGAATTATCCGCAAATAAATGAACAAATGATTGCCATTGAACAAGGACAACAGGCAATAATGAAACAAAATGAAATAGTCGTATAATATGTGTTTATCTAGTATACATGGCAATTTTACATGTAATAAATTGCCTCTCATTTAAAAAAAATTTTATTTTTGCGCGAGAATTGTAATTCCTTATAAATAAATATCTTGATTGAAATATATTAACGAATTAAAATAAATTTCTTTTTCAAGAACATTTATATAACGACAAAGTTGACCTTACATTAACCGCAGAACAATAAAATTCTTGCTTGTTTTAAGAAACAGAACAGCTCTTCGCTGTCTGAAAAGAATTTTGTCGTTCTGCTAATTAAGATAAAATAAAAACACGATTTCTGTTTTCCTTTCTCGTATTCTTTTCTACAAAAAGAAACGAAAGAAAAAACATGTCTACCATTTTAAATTTATTAAATTCGAAGTAACACATTTTTTTTGAAGCAATCGTCAAAAAGCATTGTTGTCAAACAACAGCCGTCAAGGTACGATAGAAATTAAGGAAATGTGACATTAATTATTTGCAGATAAGAGTATCTGAAATCATTGTACAATAAATGTTCAGAACTAACTACCAAGTTCGTTTGTCTAATTTCAAATGTATGTATTTAATCAGTAATGCTAGTTAAAGTCTTTCCAATTTCGGAAGAAAAAACCCTCTCTTTAGAACCGTTTACCTTGGCAAGGACGTCTACCCTGTTTCACATCTTAGTAAACAATGTACTTTTATTCGCGTGCTTATCGCCGTTGGCATGGAGCTTAATAATTTTCGATATTTTTTTCTTCTTCATTGTCGAAAAGTCCCTGAATTTGTGTTCATATTATTTTCAGTAGCTACCTCCTAGAAAGGCAACATCAATGGCCAAATCGTTAAGTAACCAATCGATAGAATCGCCATCGGAAGCCATCGAGCGTAAGGCTATTAATTCAGCTGGATCCATTGGTTCTCTTTATGATGCAAGCCGCGATCAATTGATTCACGAAACCAACAAAAATTACCCAAAACAATGGTTACCTGCATCGAGACCAGTACAGTGTAAACTGGCAACAGGCATTCCGGATTCAAACTTCAATATTCTCGAGTTCATTAATATTCAAGATGAACTAAGATTAAGTTTATGGTTGACATTAACGAAGCGAGAAGGTGTAGCGAAGGTTCTCGATTTCTCTCACTATACAGATCAGTACACTTATATTTTATACTATTCTTGGATAAAGAATGAGTGCAACTTATCAAACACTCAACAGTTTTCTGAATCATGCAATACATGTATTAATGCTACTCATGTGATTAATCGCGTACTCGTCGGGATTGACCTTGTTGTCATTGTGCATTCAACATCGACAAATGAGATTCGTGATACGATTGATTCTCTGTTTAAAAAGATTCATCGCATGCTTTTGAATGAGGAAAACTGTAGCATACACTTGACACATGAAGAAAACTGTTTACTTGGGCATTTGTCCGATATAAAGGTCTACTCGAATTCAGAAACGCTCACTAGTTTAAGCAAGCTTCATGAAATTCTTCATCAAATACAAGTAATCAAAAATAATTTTACGCTATGTCGTCCAGTGACCTATATTCTTAAGCCAACGACATCGTTCTGTAACATGGAGCCAAGAAAGCACATCATATTTCGAGCTCTAGCAGGCACGCTAATAGCACATATTGAGCGTCATTTTATCAATTTTCGAAATCGAATAAAAAATGTAGACGTATTTTGTCAAGAAAATCAACTAAAACCAATGGTTACAAGTCAGAAACAGTTGCTTAACCAAATATCCAGTCAACTCTCCGCTGTAAAACAACAGTACATCAGCGAGATGCAACGATTTTCTAAAATATTAATCGATGCCCGCATTAACAATGTAACAGTTGGCAAAATCAAGCAAGCCCTCGTAAGCAGTAAACAAAAAGCATTGAAAGTAAGTATCGATCAGTTGACTAAAATCTTTGACAAATTACAAATGCCAGATCTTGTAAACGCAAACCAAAACAAGTCAATTGTTATATCTTCAAATACTGTCGGCAGATCCTCGAATACAATCAACAATTCATATTCCACTAGGAAGCAGCCAAATTATGACCCATCACGTTATCAAAGTATTGCCTCGAAAAATCTTGTAAACGGAAGTCATCAGTCGAAAGCGGCCAATTCAAACCAATCGATCACGAAAACTAATAATAGAAAGCTTAATTTACATTCTGGAAATGTCGAATCTTATCATTCTCTTCCTCCCCAGTCGAATAAAACAGTCTCAACATCAAATAAAACTAATCATAATAAAAATGATTCAACAGAGGAAGCATTCACTCCAACAGCATCATTGCCATCATCAGAGGTGTTACCGATCGATGATACTATTAATATACTTCTGCTTAGTGAAACTGGAGTTGGAAAATCAACTTTTATCAATGCTTTTGCTAACTATTTGACGTTCCATTCATTTGAACAAGCTGAATCAAGTGAACCTGTCGTAGTTATTCCTGTTTCATTTATTATAACGACAGGTGACAATTTCGAAGAACGAACAATCGAATTTGGTGAAGTCGATAGTCTTAACAATGAAAATTTCAATGCTACTGGCCAATCTGTAACACAACATTGTAGATCTTATACTTTTGATCTTCATGATGGCGGAAGAAGGATGGTGCGTATTATTGACACACCTGGTTTTGGTGATACTCGAGGTACAGATCAAGATGATCAAAACATCGAACATATTTTACAATATATCAATAATCTTACACATTTGAATGCTATCTGTTTTCTTCTCAAACCGAATGCATCAAGATTAAATGTATTTTTTCGTACATGTTTTACTCAATTGTTTTCTCTTTTGAGTCCAGCAGCTCGTCATAACACCATCTTTTGTTTTACAAATGCCCGTTCAACGTTTTATGCACCTTGAAACACAGCTCCATTACTCAAAACGATGCTGGCAGAATCGTCGATGAGTGATATTACTTTCAAAAAGGAGAATACATTTTGTTTCGACAGTGAATCATTTCGATATTTGGTTGCACTACAAAGTGATGTTTCGTTCGGTTATGATGAAAAAACAGAATATGAACATAGTTGGTCAACATCCGTAAAAGAATCGAATCGTTTAATTGATTACATCAACATAAAGCTGATAGTATATCGCATGGAGAATGGATGGCAATCGATCAAGCATGCTCAATTTGAAATCTCTTATATGATTCGACCGATATTAGAAGCCATTAGAAATATCCTTCGAAATACTATTTTATGGAATACAACTCAATCGAACCAACAGATTGAACAAACTTCGAAGCCTGTTTCTTTCAACGCTAGTCGTTGTCGTTCGTGTAAAGGTGATCCCGACGAAGTTGGCCAATTTTGGATTTTACTTACTCGTTCACATGAAATTCAAAATAACAGTTCTACATGCCTGTGCAACCTCGATCAACATGTTCCGATCGAGTATAGTCTCGAATATAAATGTTCGAATCATACTTCTACTGATTTCGGAAAGCGAATGGTCGATACATTAAAATGCATGTATCAAGCGAGCGCTATTTTTTCACATTTCCTCATTCATACAGCTTTTGCTAGAAAGGATGATCCGTTTTTAACTGGTTTTCGAGAAATGATTGCGGAAGAAACGTATTTGTGTACGAGTAAAACGCCAAACGATTTCAATCGACTATTACTTCAAGAATTATCGGATATTGAAAATAAATATAAGCAAGAAACACAAACAATGAAATCGGCCGATGCGCGTATTGATTTACCAGCAATCTATGAATTGATCAGCATCATCGGTGGAATTTGTTTGGTGCGTGAACAGTTAGTAGCTGTTAAAAAAAGGCATCGAATGATAATTGAACAATACGAGTATGAAGCGCAGAAGATTTGATAATGAAATTATTTGTAAATTTTTATTAGCAAAATGTACGGTTTACTTTTCATTTATCAATTCAAAATACATCAACAGTTTTATAATGTTAACTATTATTTACTTGAGAAAAAAAATCGATTGATCAATTTAATTGATCAAAGTGATCCTATCTAACTGAAGTAGAGAATGAATAATTAAACATTTAAATATCGTTGTTAGTCGATGAGCATTTTATCAACGAAACAAACTGAGTTCAGTAGTTTTAAAATATATAATTTATTATTCATAAAATAACAAAATCATGTTTCTAAAATTTGAACAGGATTACGCATGCTCTGAGTATTTTCTATTATATGCAGTATCGTATGACTTTGCAAAATTGACTGCAACTGTATGCCATCTGTGGTGTTATAAGTATAGGATTTTGTTCCTGCAAATTATATATCACCGTCGTACGAGTGTTCAAAACTCACAAAAAGTAAATAGAACAAATTACGAAATGCCAAGTACCACGACAAAGTTAGATGACAGTTTCTTTTTTTAGAAATAAGAATTATCTGTAACAAAAAAAAAGTTTCATTCTTCTATGTGAAGATAAAAAGAACATGCCCAAATGATAAATTATTATCATTCTATTTTCATTTGCTATTTTTATCACATTCGTATGGGTTCGCTACTATTGTTTACTGCCCTGTTGTTGATATCTGGACATGTTAGCTCTTTCAATACCATGGGCTATGCAAACGTTCAGTATACTATTCTCTATGATCAATATCGGGATTTATCATTTCAATCATTTCCTTTCATTGGACATCCGTTACAAATTGATTGGATATCATTACCTATTCTTCACAGTTTTACGAATGGATTTTTTTCTGGAATCTTTTGGAATTTATTGGAATTCAATGCCACTCAGACTATTTTGAAAATGGCAACGGATCTGATGGTACCATTGGCTCCTGTTGCGAATCTCACGGATACACATGATGTTGGCTTTGTCATTATGTCTAGTTTTGGTCATGCATATCGTTTATTAAAATTACCAGAGTATTTACAGATAGTTATTACTGCTGCTTCTTCATTATCGACTCGATATTCACCGGAAGTTCGATGTATACGTTCTTGGGATAGTAAAGAAGGTTTTCTAGTTATCATTGATAATATGATGAATTTGGAATTACTCTTTGAAGCAAGTTATCAAACAAATAATCAAACATGGTATAACCTAGCATGGCAACATGCTAATAGAACCATGTATGAACATTTTCGACCTGATAATAGTACGTATCATGTAGTTGAATATAATGAAACTGATGGAACTGTTATTCGAAAGTACACGGCTCAAGGTTAGTAGGAAACATTTTCTGATGATTGCGTAAGTATAGTTTTTTTAAGGTTATGCTGATTGGTCAACCTGGTCTCGTGGTCAAGCGTGGGCTGTACATGGATTTACTATTGCTTATCGTTACACTAAGTATCAGCCATTTCTAGATAAAGCCATCGGTGCAGCAAATTACTTTCTGTCTCATCTTCCAAGTAGTACAGATTCGATAACTTATTGGGATTTCGACGCTCCGCACAATTCAACAATTGCCTATCAACCACGAGATACTTCAGCTGCAGCTATTTTCGCTAGTGGTTTGGTTGAATTATCTCAATATGTCACAGTAGAAGAAACTAAAGATTATTTCTTGACGAATGCTAAATCTATAGTAGATCAATTAGCAAGTCCAGCTTATTTAATATTAGACAATAAAGATTATATTTTGCGTGCAATAATTGCCAATGGAACACAGGGACCCTACCCCGATAAACCTTATGATTTAGCTACTGTATTTGGTGATTATTATTTAACACAAGCTGTCTTACGTTTATCGAAACTCTGAATACTCTTCTCACTTATAACAAGTAGAAGTTTCAAATTTTTTCCATTATATTTTACATAGCACCACGTAAGTAAAGAATATTTTTATGTTTATGGATGAATTCATAATGGAGAAGTGCTAAAAATAATTTTTTAGCGTATGGTCAACATCGCTATCTTACATTTTTCATGCGTTTTCAATCTATATTTTAAAAGAAAAATTTTCATTTGAATCCAATTGATTATGCACTTAAAAGTCTCCATGAAATCAGGTTTTCTATAAGGAAGAGTGTCAAGATTCTATTAGCGCCATCGACCATGGTAATTACCTAATTGTTTAAGAAAAGTTCTCTTTTTGCACATGATCAAAAATATTTGAATCTACTCTACCGTGCTGAATGTTATCAAAATTGGTTCCAAGATCAACAATTTGAAAAATGCTTATCGTGCTAAGGAAAGTGTTGGGAATTGACATTGGACGAAGTAATATTTTAATTATTTATATTCTTCAATTTGTTTGCCAAACTTTTATGATAGATTCTATCAGTTATTGGTTACATTTTTGATATTTCATTGGGTCACAAAAAAATTTTACTCTTATTTTGAATATCGCTATTGAGTAATTTGGATAATTCTATCTTTGTTTCTATTAGTTGACTGCATAATTAGATGGCGAAGTTGTGCTGCAATTGTCATAGGATTTTTAATGCATTCTTGTAGTCCGTCGCGAGTTCTTTTTTTCTTTCTAACTTGAGTAAGCATAAAAGATTTTCATTAAGTGACGCGATGATCTACAGACCCGTAAATGAGAGAAAATCCATTCAAACTAGACATGAAAGTTTCATGATCGAACTTGTTACATCTTTTTTCAAATTTTCAATACTAAGTTTCGTTCGCCTAAAGATATCATACAGAAATGGTGATTTTGTAAGGATTTTATCGTTAGAGAGTTTCGAGATAATTAAAATGACGTCATCAATAATTGTTAGTCAATATAAGTAATCGTTCAATGAAAAAACGCGTTAGAAAACTGGTTGTTACATTTTCAAAGAAATCTCCTAGTGATGAATTTCATAATGTTCGATTTAAGAATGGTGAATGCGAAACATAAATTCAAAATTCGTAGAAATTAAGAAAAAACGATTCTAATGAACTCTGAAATTGATCATTCATTTTTTTTATCTTATTCCCCATGTTTTCGAAAATTCGGCCAGAGTGCTTCGCACCGCATTTCGTAGTCCAGTATAACTCGAATATCATCTAGTTACACATGATATGCATATTTTATTGGTACAACAAGAAAGTTTATTTTAATTATGTTGACTAACTTGATACATTTTCGATTACAGCTGTCGGTAATTTCGCAGGTTGTTCAACTTGAATGTTTCGTCTATATCGCCATAGAGAAATTTCTTTTAAAATTAATCGATATATCAACTCAAAAAGTTCCATAACACTCAGTGCACTGAGACCAATTCATCTTCAATTAAATTATTAAAATAAAATATTATGTCCAAGAAAAAAAGAAGCTCATACTTACAATCCAGTTTGACCTCCGACGGCTGAAAATGCGTGGATAAGCGTTATTTTCGCTGCTTGTTTATGTACCGTTACATATGCACTACCACATGTTACAGTCACTCGTAAATAATTAGAGTCTACGTATTTATTATGATTCACAGCGAAATCATTTGGCAGAGAAATATTCAAGTCATTTCTTAGCAAACGTTTCGACCAGTATTCTTTTTGTTTTACATTTGGTGCTGACAAGGCACTAACATCAATAGAAAAATGCGTGTGTACACATTGTGGAACACATCGAGAACACCAAACAGCCATGAGGGTTTCGTTTACAGCTAGATCTTGTCGTGCTTTCAATGCATGTATTCGCGAGTAGACGCCCGTCGCGATCTAGCGAGAAGGCATATCGCATGATAACAGGAATAGGCAGAATGCAGAGACATTTTGAGAAAATGTAAGCTTGTTCACATAATTCATAGCACAAAGCTTCGAAGTATGCAACTTGGTGGGCATAATGTGAATCGTAGATAACTTCGTAGATATGGCGTAAACTTTTTTCAACTACTGTTGTACAATTTGTGTAAGGCTTAGGAAGAAATATTGTTTGGCTTTTTCGATATGCTATTGTGTGAGCGAGACCAGGTCGTAATCTTTCAGTATTTTTAGCAAAGAACGGAATTGCATTATTATCATGCAAAAATAGAATAAGACCATCCTCGGAGTCATTTAGTGGATAGTTTAGATGACTCGGTACGTAAAAAGCCATTGACAAACCTTTGTATGGCATTAATGTTGAGCCAAGTTCAGCCAATGAATATAATTTATGAGAAGAGTCTTTCCAATTGAATGTAAAGCAATTCCCAAAGACTAACGATAAGGAATGGATGAAATTCGATGAACAGCTAATACCATTGTACGAACATTCAAGTAACATATCCGACTTTTGAAATCCGAGATGAACCAGTTCATCTGATTCGTTTCTATTGAATAGATCAATAAGCATAAACACAAATAATGTCTCACGATCTGTTTCATTTGCATCGCTCGAATGGCTACGTGCATACACATCTATTGCTTCTTTCACACGATCTTCTCTATATGGATTCGCACTACATACAGTTACACCTGGAAACAGCATATGACGCATGGGCACAATGTCAATGCTGATATGTGTAGGAAACGCGAGCTATTGCACCAGTTCCATGAAAACAAAATAAGACGTGAAACTAAACACTACGGTACAAGTGATTATCCAAAATGCTTGATGCAATCTGTTGTAGTAAATACCAATATTATACAGACCGTGTGTCGCAGTATTGACTAAATAGTTCACGAGAATCGAACGACGACGATGTTCAAGAAATGAATGATGGTTTTCATTTTCCTCTGTAATTTTGATTTTAATCTTGAATAAAAATCTGCTAAAACATTGGTTAAGAGACACAAATTCCAGTCTCTATCATAGACATTTCCTATTGCTAATTTCTCTAATTAAAAGTGAAATTTCTGGTAACATCATTAAACCATTTTTAATTCAACTATTTTGCTTAGAACAGAATGCTCTACAAAATTTTAACCATAGTCTGAAGAGATTCATAATTAGAAAATCAACTGACGTCGTTCTGTTTACTAAGCACTTACAGTTACTATCCTATTAGTAATTATCAGTGAAAATAATTTGGGTCTACCTGTTATAACAGACGACATCAAGAAAAAACTTATGCTATTCTTCAAATTTACATTAAGTCTAAACTAAAGTTGAACTCGTTGGGTAAATGCTTTCTACGAAAAGAAAAGAAAAATCCTACTAAAAGAGTATGACGTATCAGCGCGACTCTTTTTGCTTTTCTTTCTTCAAAAAAGAAATACTAATATAGGCGTGCTACTTACCTGAATAATCATATAGTGGTAATAAAGTATTAGCCGATATCGTTCGAAGTAAATAATAGAACAGATGCGAATATTGCACTAATTTTCCTGGTGAGAATTGGATGCCAATGAAGAAATCGCATTATTTTGAGAGTGCTATGCAAATAAATATAAAATTCAAGTCCACAGGCGATAATGCAATATCAAAGCAGGTTGCTTTTCTCCCTTGCAGCGAGTGTAACGTGAACATTTTGAAAAACCAAAGTTGAACGCTTCAAAAATCATATTGCAGCTGACTGCTTTGAAATCATGTTCAAAAAGCAATTCGATTTTGATTCTATTCGACTGTACGCTAGCTCCATTAAATCAAGCATTTCGTATTAAAGCTAATATTAGTGTAAATTAATTTGAATGCTTGTTTCTTGGCCACGTTTTTAAAATTTGTACATCATTAGTAGCAGCCAGTTTAGTGCTATAATTCATTACATATTACTACCGACAATTATCTACCGTACCACAGAAAATTGAGCGTGTGTGATATTCACGAGCAAGTAAAATTTAATTCAACATCCAACGTACCGATATTTTTTTTAAATTTTATTCGTAGCAACCCCTCAGATGATCGGCTGTTTTCTTTTCATTCTATGCCGAATTCAGATACACTTGTCAGAGTATGTCTCCTGGAAAATTATGCAACATTTTTGATCTCAAACAAGTAAATGATATTTTCACTAAAAATTTGTGGACTGTGTGAGCATAGCGAAGGCAGCCTAAAATATGCCATATCTAGCTATCATGAGACTCCCATTGCAATGCAAGCAAAAGCGAAGACAGAATGTCTATTTTTATATCTCTTTTTTTCCTATTCGAAAAGTGTATGTTTCGTATTGCTTACGAGTTTGTTAGTTAAACAAAACGACAGAGAAATATTTGTGCATTATATTTATAATGTTTCCATGAATTCGTCAAAAACGATTTGTGAACGATACTAATTTGTACTATAATATCGTCGTGCTGCGTAGTTTCTATGAATCGGTATAATGTGTAGAAATCTATTGCGCATGAATGTTTCTCCGTTCTCTATAACCTTATATGATTTATGAATGAGTAACACATATTGCTCGAAAGAGGAGAAATTTCTTAATCAATTGATAAAAGAATTCGATTTTCATTCTATTGCGTATTTCAAGCAAATACGTAGTAGTCGATATTTAAATGCGTCAATATGACATACCATAAGTACGAAAGTATTTTTCGAGTGCTTTTAATTCTTTTAATCTCGCCCTACTTATCGATTTCTAATAAAAACTAGTCATCTATAGTTTGAAATAGGTGAACATTCATTTTCAGACGATAAAAAGGTATTGTTCACCACCATATCTACATAACAATAAAGTCTAACAACATGTACTACGCCTTTTTGAATCATACGTTAGTTCGCTAGTTATGCTTTTAGACTACGAATTTGTATTTAGTTATGATAAGTTAAGAGCAATGCATTCATTCGTCCTATTTGATTCATCTCATTGATTAAAATCTTGGGAAAAAATAGTAGTATTGGAAATATGAGTAATAAGTTTGCCCCACACATCAAAAATATACTTCTTGATTTTTTTTCTATTTACTATTTTTAAACCTATTCCGCAATAGTTATATTACGCATATTAATATGCGTCACCGAGTTTCTTCCTATTTCTATATTGGCCTATATATAAAGCGTTTTGACAAATACCAAATGTCGCAAAGAAAATTTCATCGGCAGTATCTCATTGTACCTTCAAGTCGTTGATTCGACTATGAACTTTTCATTTTTGCATTATAAATAACATGTGAACAATATTTCAACTACATTCTAAATTTAATTTGCAGTGAGTATAACGACCGACAGTTCTTTTTTGTTATTGTGGCAAGTTGCATCGTACGTCATGTAAGCAACTGTCATTCAGAGTGTACACGCCGTAAAATACATATTGTATTTAAAAATGATGATAACATCTTTATTTTGACCACATTGCTTTTTATTTCTAGCGCCCACTCAACTCTCACGAACAAGTTGCAGCTGAAATATTTTCACGCCATATTTATTTTGTCTTTCAGATCATGCAAATTTCATTCATTTTCCTGATTATATCGAGCATTCTGACTCTCACATTGTGTGCTGACCCTGGCACAACTGTCAATGTTCGAATCGAGGGCAAGACCAATACTATATTCGTATGTTATTCGACACATTGATCAAACATAATTTCTATTAGCGATTTTTGTTCGTCTTCATTTTTTGCTATAGGAGTCAAATGTTTTCACCCGGGGACACAATGTCACGACTGTGTCAGGCGGTACACATCATTGCGATGGTACAAATTTGAATAGTCATCCAACAGCTGGTCCGACTGCTACAAGTGCTCTCGATGATGCAAGCAAACATGGTCATTTTACTTGGGACGGTACGTTCTCAACTACATATGATGATTTCTTCATTACACGCATCGGCAGTGACGCGCAAACGGCTACACAATTCTGGGGTATTCTGGCCAATTATAACTACACAAAAACTGGAGGATGTCAAACGCGCGTTCAAAAAAATGACCAAGTTCTATTCGCTTTTGATGCATTTAACAAACATTTTTTTCTCAAACTCGCAGGACCTTCGACTGCTCGTCATGGCATTGAGACAATATTCAGGGTTACAGATGGCTCTTCAGGCAAACCAATGTCAGGTGCGACAGTTGATAAATATGTATCCGATTCCGATGGAAATGTAAAAATTACGTTTGCAAAAGGTGGTTGGCATACACTAAAGGCAGAACATAACGATTCTATTCGTTCAAACACAATCTTGGTTCAAGTACATTAATTCTCGTGGCTTCCGTTGTGTTTTACTTACTTAATCTCACATCTTGCTCGCAAATCAAGCCTCATTTTACTAATTTTATTTATCAGAAAAGTTTTCAAAATGTAAATCAGATATATCAGCGTGAATAAAAAGTATAATCATGATGAGTCGTTTGAGTGTGCAATAGTGAAATGATATTGCTTTGTTCGAAGTCTTCTCATTTTGTTTTCATCATTTCTAACAGTTGTAACTCAGTGTCAACATTTTCGCCATGTAATCCTCATCGCTTGAAATTGAAAGAAGAAGTGTGACCAGAACTAATTTAACTGAAGGCATTATGAACGAATTAGTTTATTTGGAGAAAGACAATGTCTATAAAGTTGAATTCAGCAGCAGAACATCGTATAACTAACTTACAAATGAACCAAAATGTTCACATTCTAGAAACTGTTACTTAATTTTCCTGTCATAAGCACAGTCTGATCTGTTTTGAAAAATGAATAACTTTATTATTCACCTTGTAGAGTTTATATGCTAATCGATGCTAAACTTAGGGTCGCGAGTTTAAATAGAGCAGATGGCATGATTTATTTTATTGTAATTATGAAATATACTCATACCTGGGAACCTGTATAAGAAAAAAAAAATCAGAGGTTGGAATAACCTCTCATGGGCAGTGTCTGTGTGCATATCAATCAAGATTTAGAGGCTAATTTTACCTAAAAAGGAGTACCTTTATAAGAATAGAGCTGCTTTCTTGTTGCTGGCCTTCGATAGTGTTAAAATCTTCTTTACATTAGTTTTAAATGTATAAAAGGCAAATATTTACTTCGCAGAAAATGCATGAAATCACACTATCTACATCGATATATTGAGAATCAAGTAATTTTCATTCTTCATAACATTTTCATGGAAAATTGTATTGATGTTTCTTTAAAAACATCGCTCCTTAGTCAAGAAATTTTCCCAGTGCAATTGAATATCAACAAGAACATGTGTATTCTTTATCTTTTATCTCACTGTATTTGTAGAAACGAGCCAACACCTATTCAAAGTTCACCTAGAGATTAATGATAAAATCCAATGTGATTCCGAAAAAATCAAATCAAATGGTAATACAGGTGCTATTAGCTTCTTTAATCATCAAAATCTTGTCATCGATAGGTTGATCATCAGATTCTCAGCTTGCAGCCCGAACCGGTGAAGTAAATTCGAAATTATTTGGTTTCATTAACGAATCTCGTTGAATAGAAAGCAACGAATAAGATAATAAATGATATACTTGCAGTCAATGTCCCTAAAGCGAACAGAGACTATTGAGGTGTTCATTCTGAAGCTTATATCAAACTTATTTTACGTCTTAAAACTATCATTTTTATGCCATGGAGAAAGAGAAAAAAATTCTGCATCGGCTCATATAAAAATATAATTCGTAGCTAGAAACATAGTTGAGCAATCAGCGGTATAAAACCGAAAAATCAAAACGTTCGCTTTATATTCATGTTCACAACGCGAACGCCCAGCAAGAAAATGCACATAAAACGAACGGTTCAGCTATTTTAGCTGGAGATTCAACCTGCTTCAGTATTTTGCTCATTTACCATAGATATCAAAATTCATTAAAGTATCCACTGGCAGAGATCTTCAGAATTGATTTCTCTACAACATAGCAGTGGTTCAACTATAACAGATGAAAAATAAATTCAGAGAAAACACTTTTTCTTCATCTTTTTGTGCTTTTGGAAAAACTGTTTTAATACTAACGTAAGAGCATTTTCGAGTACACACGACTTTTGAGAAAACAAATCATATGGTTAAGATAAGCATTAAATTCTGATCATAAATCACTATCCTTTTCTTCATTTAAAAGAAAAAAATTTCTGACCGTGGTCTCCCACAGGAATTTAAAAAATAAAATTTGTTTTTTATCAACATTTTGTTTTTGATTTACACGTTATCTATAGTGCTCATCCCGAATACGATGCGTTTTGTCTTTGAAATAATGTACACAGTTGAAAACCTTGCAAAACGAGACAATTTTTCAAGCACCCTGTTGTTGATTTTCTCTAGTTTCTGCACTCTGTATAGCATTTCAATGAACAAAAGCATCTTATTGGGGATGAGCACTATAAATAACGTGTAAATCAAAAAGAAAATGTTGATAAAAAACAAATTTTATTTTTAAAATTCCTGTGGGAGACCACGGTCAGAAATCTTTTCGAAAAAACATTTTTTCTTTTAAATGAAGAAAAGGGTAGTGATTTATGATCAGAATTTAATGCCCACCCAAGTGAGCAAAAAAATAGGGAGGACGGGCGACATGACTAGTCCAAAAAGTCTGCTATACCCGTCAAGTCTAGTCTAATACGTCTTCCATATCTATTGTGACTAGTCTG